TGACAAATGTAATATAAAACACAAATACCTCTGTTCTAAACCCAAATCCAACATCATTTCACCCGCTCCCATTTCCCATCACATTAACATTCACGTTCATTTGAATTTTATTAGTGTCACAGTGCTAACTGCACTTAATTTTAAACGCATTTTGTTTTTATTATCGTATAAGGGCCATGGTTTTATGCGCGTACACACTTACACAACACTATATAGAAAGAGTTTAGTTCGAAGCAACGTTTGGAAGATGACCATATTATTTGGGGGAAAACAAATACCGCGTGCGGTTTGTCCACTTCGTACCCCCTCTAATCCTAAGAAACACATCTGTTCAGATCCCATAAACTAAAGTTCTGTGCAAAGTCGGATGAGGCTGACTTTACTGTATTATCATCATCCTTTGTGGCCGGCATGAAACCGAGAACACAAACTTCTGTCCAGAACCAAGTCTCTCGCAATAAATCAGAGCTTAACGACCTCGCTCAATCAGCAAGCGCCGTCTATTATTTTTTAGGATATCCCTGAAATATGAATCAGGAAGACAAAGAACAGAAACGAAACTATCAAGCCCTTCTGGAAGGAAAACTACGAAGTTCCCAAGCGAGCGTGTTACTTGAAAACCATATAAACCATTTCTTCTTAGCTTGGCTCTGTCATCCATCTCGGAAAAGGATGTTTTTACAATCAGAGCAGAAATATGACTGGCGCTCAGGACATTTACATTTCTTTGTTGCAAAATGAATGTAACTTGTTCGGATTCCAGCAGCGGAGAAAGCAGCAGAAGTAGTGGTTACTTTCCAAAGTGAAACTTAAAACCACAATCTCCGGCAGCGCACAAAAGGCAGAATGAGTCACCGGAAGAGGCCACTTGCTTGCAAAACTCATTAAAGGCAATGCAGGCCTGAATGGACTTCCTGCACCAGTGAAAAGATAGCTGGCATCAGGACAGCCCCTCCAGGCTCCCACAATTTGGGGGAGGAAAGGAGCCATCGGAAATCTGGGTACAGCCCAGGTCTGCTGTTCACACGCACCCAGCTGCCCGGTCCCCTCCCGGCCGCCAGCAGCCCGCAGAGATGCCGGGAAGGGGCCGAGGCTGGCAGCTGTGCATCACAGGGTTACCACGGCACCTCGTGACTCAGAGGGTTTCCAGGGGCCTCCCTCCTGCAGCAGGTCCTCTCTCCCCCGCTGCAGCCAGACCAGGTTGCTTCAGTGCAGAAGCAGCCCCTGGGAACAGGATGTGGGCCTCAGCTGTGTCATCGGGAAGCCGGGCATGCATCAGCATCCTGGGGAGGACTCACTAGCATGGGTTATGGGGTCCCGCGCCCCTAGTCTGGGTCGGTGGGTCTGGGCTCGGGCCCAAGAACTTGCATTCCTAACAAGCCCCGGTGCTGGAGCTGCAGGCTCTGGAGAATCCCAGATCCGAAGTGGTTCTTAGACCTGAACAACAATCACCCACAAACCGCTCCCTCCTCTGAGCTGGTTAGTGATGTCTGGCCTTGGGCCGTGCCAACTGGAGGCACGTTGGCGCCCACACAGTCCCCGGGGGCCACTCCTCCCCCTCCCCACAAGCCCTCAACACACCTGGCTGGTCTCCAAGACAAGCACCATGGGAGGGGCCTTGTCAAGTCCGGATAATGTCTTTTAAAGGCTGTGCCTCCAAAGCAAAACTGATTGTGCCCCCAGGTGGCCGCTGGGGCCTGCTGGTTTCCAGGGCCCGCCTGGATCGGGTCATATTCAGGTTTCCTTTGGGCCATAGCAGGGATGCTCCCCTACTTCAGCAGTGACAAACAGGAGTGGGAAGGGGGTCAGAAGAGGAGGGAGGCGCTACTGGCGTTTTAAGCACTTGCGTTTGGTGCAGAGACGGGACGCCCTCCCACCAGCCCCAGGCCGTGGAAGCAGGCGATGCTGCTCCCACTCAGCCCCCCTCGTGGAAAGACAAAAGTACAAACACACGGAGGAAGAGGGACAAGTGATGGGTGACATGACACAGCTCTCCTGGAATAGCTCCTGCTGCAACTAGGACATTCAGATTCCGAAGAAGTTCGGATTTTAATTCTAAGGAGGCCGAGGCAGGCTTAACCGCCCTCCAGGACCGTTGCCCCGTCTCAGGGCTGCACCAGGGCTGCCTGGCATTACCTCCCACAGGAAAGGGCACTCTCAGGCCCAACGCCGGTGCTGTGGCCCCACCGTGCGTGTTCCCCGGGGTCCAAGTGCAAGGGCCAGTGAGTCTGGCCAGGTGTGCCAATTTCGAAGATCAAGGTAGAAAGTAGTTTAGACATTCAGGTGAGTACAGCTGAGACAGTGGGGACACTCAAGCTGCCCAGCTGGCTTTCCTGCACCCGCGTGAGAGCCGCCTGCACCACCGAATGGAAACAGCATAGCCTAGTGGTACCACTGAGACGAGGGCGGCAGCAGGTGGGATCTCTGAGCCAGAGACTCCAGTTCAGGCTGATTTTTATTCAACAGATAAGAGTGTCTATAATCTGAAATCGGGGGTGGAATAAATCTGTGATGTTCAACTACATGAGAGCGCTTGTTTTTGTTTTCAAGATACAGAAGCAGTAACTCCAAGACGCCCAGATGGCCTGCTTGGCTCTGGCTTGGGGAGCAGCTCAGCCTGGGGCCCCAGGTAGCTATCTTTTATGCACTTAGGGGCCTGTGCTTTTAAATATCTATCCCAAACGCTTGGGCAGATGCAGGTAAATCAACAGGATGTCTCAGCCTATCAACAATGCACAAAATCAGTAGGAGCTATGACAGTTTTCAAGTCATCTGGGAAAACTAGCCAAGGGTTTTGACTGATTCATTCAAAATAAAAAGAGAGTGGGGCACCTGGGTGGCTCAGTCGGTTAAGCATCCGACTCTTGATTTCAGCTCAGGTCATGATCTCAGAGTCATGAGATCGAGCACCACATCGGGCTCTGTGCTCAGCGTGCCCCTCTCCCTCTGCTTTCCCTGTTCTCTCTCAAATAAAATATTAAAAAAAAAAAAAAAAAAGGCAAGAGAGCCAGCCAGGTGCCTCTGGATGAAGGCGGTCACTTGCTGCGATGAACACCGGGTGCCGCAGGTTAAGTGCTGAATCACTAAATTGCACACCTGAAACTAGTATTACGCTGGGTGTTAAGTGGAATTTAAATGAAAACTTGAAAAAAGAAGAATGGGTTAGGGGTACCCCCAGAAGAGAGTCCAAAAATTGAGGACAGGGAATGTGAGGTGGGGGAATCTGTAGTTTATACTTTTATTTTCTGTGTATTGTTAGTGTTTTGACGTCTGAAATCCCTTTCTGCTGAGGAGAGACTGGCTAGCCACCTCTAGAGGCAGCGAGGGGCCCAGCTGGAGCAGCCTGTAATATGCCAACTAACCCACCCAGAGCCAGACCCCCTCTCCCTGATTCGTGCATCCAGGAGGCAATCTTCCTCGGCCTTACACATCCCAGGGCTACACACCAGACAGCCGGGGACCACCCCCCCAGCCTGGAGGCCGCTGAGATTATCCAAACTACTCAGTCCTCAGCTGCACTCCCCGCCTCCCTCCCTTTCCTCTGGAAACCCCAGTAAAGGCTCTGGCCTGGGCTCTCCCCTCACCCCAGCCACATCTGCCTCCTGGCCACCCTGGTGCTTCCCCACGTGGCATGGCATGGCGTGAAGTGCCTCCCATTTCAAGGACCTGAGTGGAATGAACGTGGTTTTCCTGAGTCTCTCCTGTGTCTCCTCCTGTGGCTGCACCTGATTGAGCATCTCATTCAAGAACACAGACCGGGGCGCCTGGGTGGCTCAGTGGTTGAGCGTCTGCCTCCAGCTCAGGGTGTGATCCCAGGGGTCCTGGGATCGAGTCCCACATCGGGCTCCCCGCGGGGAGCCTGCTTTGCCCTCTGCCTGTGTCTGTGTGTCTCTCAAGAATAAATAAGATCTTTAAAAAAAAAAAAAAAAAACACAGACCAGACCCTGCCTGTACTACAGTCATGTACGCCCACTCTTGTCATTTCCACCAGGTGGGACGGGCCCCAGACACAGCCCCCTCCCCTCTCCCTGCTCCCAGGTGTATACGGAGGATCAGTACTGCACCAAAGGCCTCAGAAAAGACTGGCTCTTTTATTCCCAATATTGAGCAGTTCATAGCCTTAAGGGTTTTTTATTTTTTGAGTAGAGAATAAAAACTGCTTGATATCATACACTAGAGAGTCAGCAACTTAGTAACTTACCAAAAACTTTAAAATTCACACGCCTGATTTTCAGAGAAATCTCTCATCCAACTCCTTTATTACAGTGTTTTCTAGCTTGGCAGCCAGCACGACACAATGGGGTGTTACAGTGATTTTCATCACTGTGCCAGGATATACAAATACAGATCGAGGCCTGTAAATAAGATACATTTAAAGGTGGCGATCTCAACCTAAAATCGTAAAGGGAGTTTCCCTTGGAAGGTGTCATCATTTGTCCACGTGCCAGGTATGTATTTTCCCTCATCACACAGGATGATCATCCGATGACGTCATATGTGGGATCGGTTTCCCACCGGGCAACTTTGAAATGTGCGGCCCAAATGCAGCATTCCCGCCCTGACCACAGGGTTACTGGGTGATGGTTGTGTAAATATGGATGAACCCACTGACAGGTGCATTAGTGCAGCCACATAACAAATCTCACTTTCAGAAGCCACAAGGCAGGTGTGAATGTTACAGCCCCTCCAGGGGTCACGCCCTGGACCTGACACACACCCGAGCATGTAACCTTCTGGAAGGCATGCTGTGTGTCGGAGTGCAGTGGTGTGGAGCAGTAAGGTACAACAAAATCAGGAATGCAGGGTCGCACGTGGGCGGCCTGATGAAGGCTCCGAGGGATGGCACGACATGGGATACCCTAGCCATCCTCAAAGCCGAATCCTCCCCAGTGCGGGGGACAAACGGTGTCCGCCTCTGCAGGTGCATGACCTTAAGGGCACCCTGAAATACTCGCACGACGGAATTAACTAAAGATCACTAAAGAACAAGCCCAGAGTAGTTAAGGCAGAACTATTTTTTATTTTTTAATGCCTCCCAAAGGGAATCTGCACATGCGTGTTCACGTTTCTAGGCAAATCTGTGATCGACGACACACGTGTGTTTGCCCTTCGAATGGCCAGGCGCACCGTTCCGGAGAGGCCCCCCTTGCTAACAGAGCCCACCGGCTACAATGAAGGCAACACCTCTGGGTTTTCTTTCACAGAAAGAGTAAAATTTCATTCAACTGTCGCAGGTTCTGACACTAACACAATGCGATTTAAATAGGAAAGCGTTTCAATCATTGGAGTAAAACACTCTTTAAAAAAATAATACTTCAAAAAGTAAAGCAAAATCTTTTACCAAAATAATTCTTTCACTTTTCAAACTGTCCTCTCCACAAGCCAATTTTATAAACAAGTAAAGGAATCATCTTCTGCCCACTTAAAAGAATGTCGCTCGAATTCTTATTTATCCACCTGCCCTTAATTTCGGTGGGAAAAGCAAAGGAAAATAAGAAGTATTACCCATACACTCCGAAAGAGGGTCAGTCTGTGAGATACACAGAATAAGGCTCTTTGGATACTTTAACATCTTTATCTTTTTAATGCATTAATGACAGCTCTAATAGAAAGACTATGGCTAAAATGCTTGTAACAGTAACCCAATCAGAGTAAGTAATAAATAAGCGTATCTACAAAGGACATAGCTTCTTGAAACGATTTTTGTAAAACCACCTGGTTTGAGAGCTCCCCACAGAAGTCGACATCATTACCGTTTGGTGTGAGCTCCAAGCGAATCCGCGTTTAGAGCACCAGCTCTCTGGAGAGGGGCTGGAGAGTGTCGGGTGGATTCGAAATACTGCCCTACGAGTGTTTACTATGATCTGAACTTAAGGCATTGCAGAGCCGGACAAAGCACATTCTAAATAAAACATCTGCCCCAGATGCATTAAGGCATAAATACTCCAGCGTTGGGCCACAACAATGGGAGGGGAGATGTACCAACTACGTAGGTCATCTTTAACCAAAGGAATTAAAGAACTTAGGGCCTAACCATCAGACCCGTCGGCAGATGCCACAGAGGACCCCCAGGCCGAGCCAGCACAGTGAGGGCGGAAACCCTGCAGAGGCAGGTCTCGGGACCCTAGGCCCCCACCCATGTGCGGAACAGGGGGCACCCACCTCCACAGGTGGAAATGTGCCCCTACTCTACCAAAGTCCTGCGTGTCTGGTGTCCCTCAGCTGAACTGTCGTCAGCGGGGACCCCCAGGCGGCCACCTCTGCTTCGGTTTCAGTGGCCCACCATGATGCACAGGACCAGTAAGGAACCCCGAGAGCAGACAGGTCAGGGCAGCGGGGCGACCGCCTTTAGGCCACGACCGGGGGGTACCTTCCCGCTCTGAAGGTACCCAATTCTCGCCTATAAAGTCCACCCTTCATATTTCACTTAGAAAGTTCAAGCCCCCAGGGCATGGGGACAGAAAAGCCCCAAATTTCTCTGCTCTTTAGCAAATGACTGCATGTCAGGCTCTGGAGCTCCTGCTCCGTGGCTCCCAAACCTATCCTTTAATGGGGGGTGCTTGGTCTTCACATGACGTCAGGAGGCTGCTTGCAACATTTTACGCTGAGGCAGAATGAACATCCTGGTTTTCAAAAGGTGGCAGTGGCTCTCTCCAAAAGGTGAAATTACTGAAAGTATCTGAGCAGGGGAAGTCCGAAGAATGGCTTCTTTTTAGCAATGGGAAAACGTGGTCCACCACTTCGCAGAGTCTCACATACCTGGAAGGAGAACAGACAACGTCATGACCTCAGGGGGACACCCAGGCAAGCATAATGCCCACCAGGGACCCTGCTGTGCCTGGGACCTGGGACAGATCCACAACCCTGGGGGACAGACCACCGGCTTAACACAGTGGCGGTGGTTCTAGAACAATTCCTCACTTATTAGTGGGAAACCAACGAGTGTGCCAAGCAGGAGTCAGAGAAGCCCCACGGGTGAAGCGGGTGGAACCTGATTGGCACGAAGGACAGAAGAGGGACAAGTGGGAGCCGGGGGACAGGACAAAATCAGCGTGGCGGTGACAGCTGCCCGCCTCAGAGCTCACGTCCGAGCCTGCGGGGAAGAACCACAGATAAAGTACGAGTCTGGAGCGTCAGAGACTGCTCCGCTGGGCAAGGAAATGGCCCTGGGCCTGGGGTAAGGGGACGCAGACTTGACCTTCAGCTCTGCTATTACCAGCTGAGTGACCTCGGGCAAATGGCTTCATCCCTTCTAAGCCACAATCTCTTCAACAGTAAAGGAAAACTGCCCCCGTGTCCACGTGAGAGTGAAATAAAATAACGTATGCGACAGTAAAATGATGCACATTCGGTGCTTATTAACATCAGCCCTCGCTAACTATTAGCCGTAGGGGGAAAGCCTTCACCAGCGTGAGGGACAAGACACGTGGGATCCACTCCCACCAGGTTCACTGTGTCACCTCGGGCAAGTGTCTTGCCCTCTCTGGGCCTCGGCCGTCACCTTTACGGAAGATGGAGTTGGACTAGATCAGTGTTTCTCAACGATCCTGCAATATTCCCCCCTCCATCTTCCCTGTATCCCCAAGACGTGAGTGAGTCTCTTTGGCCAACACTACAAAAAGAAAGCCGCTGTATTGAAAATGCATCTCCAGACCTCCGGGCGCCTCCAACCAGAAATTCTGACAAGCCCAGGCCTCTCCGCACGTCCCCAGGGTCCTCCCGGACGGTCACGGGGTCCCCCTCTCCAGTGCCAATTTGCTAAAAACCAAGAAGCGCTTTCGAAACAAACTCCAGGAATTAGCATGTTCTGAGGCATCAAATAACTTATTAACTAAGGATGAGGGTGTGTATTTAATAAAGGACCCCAACGGGCTCATGAGGAACATCGTGCTTGCACAGAATGGGGAAAATCTCCCCTAACAAGCAAGAATTACGCTCTTCCTGGAAATTAAAACAAATTTTTAAAATACCTCCTTGGCTTTATGACCTATTGGAGTGCTGCGGCTGCGGCAGGCAGCCCGTCCCCGCGGGGAGCAGCTCGCGCACGGCAGGGGGTGGCAGGCCCCGGATCCAAACTGTCGAGTGCTGTGCGCGCTGGACTGTGAGAGCAAACAGCTCCCCGGCTGCCGCAGGTCCCAGACCATCTGGTTTCTCAGACACAGCGTCCCAGGATCCCAAATGACCGCCCCATGTCCGGTTCCAGGGGCAGTGTGAGCTCCCCAGGGGCAGGTGGGCTGGGTGTCCCCACCTGACGTGAGAGGATGACGTGCAAAGGTCCTCTGCACTGAGGTCTGTGCCAGGCCGAGGTGTGGGCACGGTGGCACCTGAACCCCAGAGCCCGAGCCAGCGAGATGACCTCACAGGCCTCCGGCCCAAACTCCCGTCGGGGCTGGGACCCTCCTGCCGCGTCCCCTGTGACAGGCCTGCCACTGGGCTGCTGCCATTTCTCAGCAGGGTCTCCTCAGTTCAGGTTCCTTGTGACCCTGGAAAGACCCCTCCTAGACCTTCTCCAGACCAGGAGACCCCTTCACATAGCAGGGTGCTGCGCTGGAAGAGAGGGGACCCCAATGCTGTCGGGGCCACTCGGAGTCTACCGTGCGGGCCGGGAGAAGCTATGCGGCCGGGGCAAGGGAGGCGTCGTCCGCGCTGCTGCTCTGCCAGTCGGGGGCCAGCCTGGCTCTGCCTCCTGTCCTGAAGCATGGAGGAGGCTCCCGGCTGCATCCCCCTCGCCCTCCCCGCCTATCTGGAGAACTGCTCAGGAAAAGGCATGACTGGGAGGCAAGGGCTGGGCTCCCCTCAGCCTACAACTGCCCCCATTTAGGCCACATTAAGCTTGACTGGGCCTAAGGACCATCTTGGGACGTAAAAACGTGCTCTAGGGGGAACCTAAGTCTCTCATTTACCTAAAACCACAGGATGTGCCTGGAAGAAACCATTTCCTTCGAAGCCTCCAGAACCAAACCCCCAGTTCAACAACTCCCCGTAAGGCAGGTTCCTGCAGTCCCCCAGGGGGTCACCTGGGGCCATGAGCTGTCTTCTAGGTCTACACAGACGGTGCAGTAGGAGACACCCCTCTGCCCGGTGTCACCGGGTGGGCAAAGCTCACCAACACATGGCCTGAGGAGATGCTCTCGACTCTAAGAACCCAGAGGGAAACACACCGAAGACAAAGGAAAGTCCACAACCAGCCAGGATGCCTCATTACAAACAGGAGCCCAATTCAGCCCACTGCCCTGGGGAGACTCTGCTGGACCACAAGTATGAGAGGAATTCTGACAATTTCTGGTGAGAGCATTAGAGCAGGTCAGTGTGTGAAGACACACAGCTTCTCGTCTGTAAATACAGCCTCACAGGGTATTTCAACGTGGTTGCATTTCCAATTGGTACACTAGGCTTTCAGTCCTAACCTGGCAAATCTAAACCAGTAGTTTTGAAATCCATTCAATTCCACTCAGGAGCAGAACCTCACCACTAACTTAAATTGTTGACCTGGAGGGGACCTGATTTAATACAGGTTGTCCAGAAATTAAGTTTTGGACAAAATGCCAAGAGTTAAAATGTACTACCTCTTTGTAGGAATTAAGGATTAAAACACAGGCAACAAAGGATAAAAAGGCGCACTGTAAACTGTAAAGCATCATTCCAAGACTGAGGCTACAGCCACAATGTAATGACACAGCACTCCCACAACACGCGCGTGCTACTCACGAGGAGATGTTGGTCTTTGCGTGTTCCTGGACAAGTTCTCCTTTGGGATTGACGGTAAATATTCTGTTCAAAGACACTCCTACTTGCTTATATGAATACACATCCTGTATTTGGGAAAGTATAAATTAGGGGAAAAAAAAGTACACTGTAAACACAAATAGGTGGTATTCCAGATTTGATGAAATATTATAAACTTTTCATTAACCAGAACTCTACTTCCAAGTAGTGCAGAGAAAAAGTATCTCTGGATGTGAAATTATTAAATCAGTTTTCCCCTTGGGGCCTCCATTCGTTCATCTGTTCAAGAGCTGAGCTAATGAGTAAACAACCTACCACATCCCCTGCAATTCTTACAGCCCTTAAGGCTATTCTCTGACCCATTTTCTCAGGCAGGGGTTCCAAAAGGGGAATTTTCTTACTGGGAAGTTAGTGCCCAACTATATTATCCAGAAGGCTAAACTCTCTGGCAAATTTGGGTAGAGCACATAAAATCTCAAAGCACTTCCTTTACCATATGCAACAGTGCTCTTAAAACTTGTGATCTCAAATTCACCATTGTGTTAAGGCTTGGCTTTGTGGCTCTATTCTGGGAGAAAGGGTCTAATCCTAATTCTATGTTCCTGTTCTACTAATTTGAGCATGTGATTTGGAATTTGAAGTTTCTAGTCCCACATTCCAAAGCTTTAGACTAAAACCCACTAGGCCATCTTTAAAGAAAGCTAGAGGGGATCCCTGGGTAGCTCAATGGTTTAGCGCCTGCCTTCGGCCCAGGGCGTGGTCCTGGAGTCCCACATTGGGCTCCTTGCATGGAGCCTGTTTCTCTCTCTGCCTGTGTCTCTGCCTCTCTCTCTGTGTCTGTCATGAATGAATAAATAAAATCATAAATAAATAAATAAATAAATAAATAAATAAATAAATAAATAAATAAATCAAGCAAGCAAGCAAGCAAGCAAGCAAGCAAGCAAGCTAGAGGCCATGAAATTACTGAGAGTCTCCTTACAGCTATTTCTAGTGGGATGGGAATCTGGCTCCACACGGAGCCCAGACCCAGCTTTCAGATGACTGCTGGGAGAAAAGGCAGTAATCCCAAGGGCTCTCATATACCCGATCTACTACTTACAGCTGGTCGGTTTCCAAAAGCAGCATAAAAGGGTTCTGTATTTGGGAAAAACAGGTTTTTGATGTCTGTCAAACACTGGACTTTAAACTTCTCTGGCTTCTTCTCAATCACTTCTCTGTTAAAACAAATAAATAATGGATCAGCTTCATTAGCATCAAACTATTTTCAAGTTCACAGAGGGTGAATCCACACTTTCAAGTCTTCCCACAAAGAAAACGCTAAGGACAGGTGATTTTACAAAAGACCTCCACCAGTCATACAAGGAACAAGGAATTCTGGATGTAGAAGAGAAGACCTCTCCAAACTCAATTTTGAGCCTAGCCTAACCTCAAAAAGAAAACCGAAAGAAGAAAAGCTTGAGCAAAGTGTGGGCCAACCTCATTCCTGAATGTCAGGAGCCAACATCCTAGATAAATATGCATATGCAAACTGCAGCAAAGCACAAGCTTCACTCCAGGAATGCAAGAGTCATTCAATACTTTCAACCAATTAATGCAGTGTTAACACATTTACAAATTAAAGGAAGAGAAAACATACCCTATCAATAGATACAGACAGGGCATTTGATACAATTCAATGGCAAATCAAGATGAAAAATCTTAAACCTGGAATAGCAGGGAATACTCCAAATCCATAGCAAATTCCCCGGTAACAGTGAAACAACAGGAGGCTTTAACACTATGCCATAGGTCCTCCCTCCGAGGGTGACGGAAGGAAAACAATTGAGAATGAGGATTGGAAAGGAAGGAAAAGAAACTGTAGCTATCCACAAAAAACTATATTTAAAAAAAAAAAAATCTACAGATGAATTATCATCACTAGTAAGAGATCGATAAGACTGCTGGCTATAAAATCAGTGTACAGAAAAAAATAATGTACAAAAATCAATTGCACTTTCATGCATCAGAAGAAACAAACAGGCAGGAATATAATTATGTGAACAGAAATTTAAAATCTCAAGTGTCCAGGAATAAACCTAATAGGCTTTCATGGATAAAATGATAAACTTCAGTGAAATAGATTAGGAAAGACCTAAATAAATGAAAAAATACACCATATAAGTGAATGGGAGGATTCAATATTACAAGGAGATACTGACTCTCCCTAAACTGTTCTCCAGGTTCACTGTAATTTCAATCAACCTCTGGACAGGGATTTTGTCCGTATATTTTTATAAACCTCAATCATCACAGTCACACGCAAGAGCAAAAGCCAGAAACCAAACCACACATTTATGAACACTTGATTTACGAGCATGATGACGATTCAAAGCAGGAGGAAACAGGCAATCGTTTCAGTAAATGATGCTGGGACATCTGAACATCCCTAGTAGGAAAACCAAAAAAAGAAAAGAAAAGAAAATGGGCCTCTCCTGCACTCAATATGCAAAAATCAATTCCTGGTGGACTACACATCTAAACCTGAAGGGTAACACCTTCAGAACCTATGGTCATGCCCACAGTCAGGGGAGCCCTGTTTAATAGACAAGCAGCACAAACAACGGGCAAAATGATATGTTCAAGTACGTGAAACTAAGGATTTATGTTCATCACAAGCCATAAACCGGGGAAGGCTCTTTGCAGGACTCATAACAAAGGCTCCGTATATAGAATCTATAACACACACTTAACAAATCAAAAAGAAAATTGGGAAAACACTTGAACAGGCACTTCGCAGAGGATGAAGCCCAAATGGCCAATAAACGTACGGAGAGAGACATTTCACACCCATCAGACTAGCAAAAATGTAAATGGCTAAAAACGTGGTGGCAAGAAAGCAGAGCAAGTGGAGCGCTCATATACACTGTTGGTGCATAAATTGGTTGAATTACTTTGGAAAACAGTTCAGAATGACCTCGTAATGCTGAATATGTGCAAACGCCATGGCCAGCATTTCCAATCCTGATTGTTTACCTTGGAGCACCCAGTGCACACACATACGAGCAGCACTGCTTTTATTGGTAAAATACTGGAAATGAACCAAGTATCCCTCGGCAGTAGGATGGATAAACTGTGGTAGTCCTACAACAGGATACCATACGGAAGTAAGAGCAGAGAGTTACAGCTCTACTCAACGATCATGGGAGCGTAATGTTGAGTGAAAAAAAGCAAGCTCCAGAAGAACATATGACAGTCACACCAAGTTCACACATGTGCACAATTAGACGAGGACCACGAATACAGGTGATGAAACTGTTTAGAAAACTAGGGAATGATTCACACAAGATTCGGGAATAATGGCTGCCGTCACTACTCAGTGGGGAGGGATGTGAGTGACTAGGACTTCACATGGCATGGTCTGTCCTTCGGCTGTAACCAGATGGGGGGCACACTGGTGTTCACTATTTGGTTAACATTCATACCTCACATATATTTTAGAACTATTCTTCTCCACCTACTCAAAATGTAATTCAGATGATGATGGTGAGGGTGAGGATGAGGATGATGGGGGTGGGGTGGGGGTAGAGTATCAACCTGAGTGTCATAAGACCCAAGGGCTAGTCCCGGCTCTGTACAGACTTCTGCGGACTCCAGAACCGTCCCTAAACTTAACACTAAAAGGGTTTTACATTCTGTATCTTAGGACCCTATGGGTGACTATGTGATTATGAGTCTCAAACTTCAATCTGCTCAGGGGAAACCATCCAAATTCAGCTTCCTGCTTCAATTTCAATCTCTCTCTCTCATGCACATGTGCATGAGTGTGCAAGTGTGTGGCAGGTAGGAGGATGTCTGCATGCATACACACCAGGTAACTCATGCACAGTAAGAGGAGACCCCATGGCCCCATTGAAGGAGCAAGTAAGATACCCCAGGAGGAAGCAGTGAGGGCTGCTGACAAGTACTCAGGTGAGCAGTCCAGATTGCCCCTTGCGCAGCCTAGGTCTTCAGTGATCTGAATTTGCATATGGTCCCTGGTCACTCAACTCACCCTTGAGGTAATGTTACTCCAACAAACAACAAAGTGTCATTTATTTGAGTTTAGGGCGCCTCAGAAAACCCCAAAGGGAAAATGTGGTTGCTTGTGAAACAGTTTCTTCTTTCCCAGAGGTAGAGGCCAGCCTCTGTTCTTGCCAAACTCTAGAATTTTACACGTGGCCAGTAACCCAGTCTTGGGATCTAGCAAAGGTAAATCGCTTGTCATTGGTGAGACGCCCCCTACCCTGCACCAGGAGACTGAGCCACATGTACCAGGAACGTGTGTCGTACTTAACAGAAGCTTTATGAAGATGATCCGAACAGCCCTGCTGCCACAACAAAATAGGGCAGGTAACAAAAACTCAATTTCTCAGAACATGAGAGACTCCTAACTCTGGGAAATGAACAAGGGGTGGTAGAAGGGGAGGTGGACAGGGGTCGGGGGGACTGGGTGACAGGCACTGAGGGGGGCACTTGACGGGATGAGCACTGGGTGTTATGCTATATGTTGGCAAATTGAACTCTAATAAAAAAATAAATAAATAAAATAAAAATTTTTAAAAGCCACTCAATTTCTACTTTAAAAGAAGCTCCCGAACCAAAAGAAGAGGTGTGTGGCACAGATTCCCTCAACTTCTCAGACACATTTCCTAGGATCATAGCATTTCAGGGCTGAAAGGGGACGCCTGAGATCATCTAATGAAACCCTTCCATTTGGCAGCTGAGGACACAGACTTGGGAGAGGGAAGCACCTGCTCGTCACACCACCAATCAGTCGCCGAGCAGCATCAGAGCTTGGGGCTCCCCGTCCCCACCTGCCGGCTGCATGCCCCTCACTATGCTTATTTTCTTTCTTTCCAGTTTGGACCTAGGCAGGATGCTCAAAAGTGCACCCAATGAAAGCACCCTGCTAGGGAAGGTCACTCTGGCTCATGGCAGACTTGCCCATCAATTCTAGAAAATCTGCGGGACGGCTGACACGCAGAACGGCTCCGGCTAGAATGAGGAGCTCAGAGGACCAGGCTGCCGGCCGTGGCTGGGAGGGTACATACATAGCTCCTGGGAGGGAACACACATTGTGAGGTTCCCTTGTTTGGTTTCATAAATCCTCACTGTCCAAATATCTATCACTTTTGATTTAAATAAGGTAAAAATGAAAAAGATCACCTTAAGCGTATCATTAGTGGTAGCGTATCAAAGCAGTGATGTCAACGTTTTGCTTCGCCCTGCAAATCCTCAGTACTTAATACATGATAATGAGTAGCTTGCTCACTGTCGACATAGGTCAGGGACCCCATTTCATTAACATCTGGATCCTACTGAAGCCTACATTGTCAGGACAGCTCTCAAGACTTGAAATGCACTATGGCATCCAGAGGTTTTGCCTGAATTTCCTCCCCAGAATGTCTAAGTTTCAGTGAAAGATCTTTGACTACGGGGAAAAAGTCACAAATCACACAAAACAAAGCAGCAATGGGAAAGGTACCCGCAAAGCTGGAGAGAAATACCCAAGAGGAACCAACATGGTGCTGTGAGCCCATCTGGATCTTTCCGTTGTCTGCATGGTGAGCAGCAGCAAGCAGCTTCCTGCCAGAGCCCCTGGCTGGGTCTTGAAGACACAACTATGTGACCCTTAGAACCAGCCCTTGGCAGAGCCACGACAGTCCATGCTCTGAGAGCAGCCTGGGAAGCTGCCCTGGGCCTCGGGGTACAGGAAAGTCCAGTCCCCGCCTCTCCCACCCCAGGAGGCCAGACTTAGTTTGGGTCGACTTCCCTGAATGAGGCTGTGATGGTGAAGGGAGGAGGGTTCTCAGACATTGGCTGGTGATGTTAGAGGACCAGTAAAACAAACCCTGTGGGGGCGCCTGGGTGGTTCAGCTGGTTAGGCGTCTGCCTTCGACTCAGGTCATGACCTCAGATCCTGGGATCGAGCCCCGCGTCGGGTTCCACGCTCAGCCAGGAGTCTGCTTCTCTGTCTGTCCTCCCCCACCCCTGCTCATGCTCCTTCTCTCCTGTTCTCTCTCTCTCTCAAATGAATAAATAAAATCTTTAAAACAAAACAAGTGTGTGACCAGAGCTCCCAGAAACAAGTCTTCTGGGAGACCAAGGGCCAGGCGGGTGGTGGGGGCTGGTCGAGGGGCCACTCTACCCAGCCCAGGCCCCCGATTAGACGGATTGCAAGTTGATTCAGGGAGGCCTTAAGACCTGGCCTGGCGACAGCGGCCGTGCAGCTGCCCACAAAGAGGAACAGCAGGTGCACAGGCTTGAAGTGGAGAAGATGGTTCTGGAAAACGAGGACAGCTCAGCATGACTGGGTTTTAAGGGGTGCAAAAGGGGGTGAGGGGGGTCAGGAAGGGTCAGGTGAATGGAGCCAGCGAATCTGGACTTGCCCCCAAACGTCGTGAGGAGCTACTGAAGGGGGTGGCCGGGGAGACAGAGCCAGACCTGCATGTCGGGGTGACTGTCAGGTGCCCCCCCGCGGAGCAGGGCCGTGGGGGCAGGAGACGTGGAGAGGCTCTCCCAGGGAAGGCCCACAGCGCGGCGCCCTACCTGTGCAAGGCCGAGAAGAGACTGCTGGGGCTGAGCAGCAGGGGCCCCTGGGGCAGCACCGTGCCCCGCTCGTTCACCCAGTGCAGGTAGCCCCTCGTCATGTCCGCCATCCCGATGGCCCGCGCGGAGCAGTAGAGGAACTTATAGCCGTTTCTGAAAGAGACAGAGCAGTGGCGTGTCACAACCCCCGACCTCGGTGTTCCACGCAGAACGGCACCCCAAGCTTCCTCCCCAGCAGAAGGCTCATTCTGGAAAACACTCTTTTGCACTGAGAGCCTGAGTGCGTTTCACTGTCCTATTACTAAGCACATGCGCCTCCCTCACTTGGTTCGATCCTCGTGGGAACTTCGCTCCGTGGGTGTTTTCCCTCCTCTCTACTGCTCGAGAAACTGAGGCTCTCGGCCAACTGGCCAGCCTACCTGCACCCGGCCCCTGCACGGGGCCCCACTGCCACCGCCGCCCACCCCCTTCCACGCACCATCAGTGCCCCCTCGGCTGGAGGATTCCCATAGGCACGTTCTGTATACTCCACCCTCTCCCTCTCTCATCTCCTCCGAAAACCACCACTGCCCCCAGGGCCAAAGCCCCCTTCTTAGGTTTTCCCTCTCTGCAGACCAAATCCCATCTCCCTGCTCCCTTGGCGGCAAAACTCCTTCAAAGAGCCGCATCTCTGCATTGACTGCACATCTCACCCTTGGCAACCCGCTCCAAGCCCACTTGCTCCCCTCCCTCGCTGGCCCCGTAGGTCCCTGCGATGATGCCACAGTTCTCAAGTGAACAGACTTCCCAGCAGCACCTGGCACAGAGGAGGGGGGGCCACCCTTTCCGTCAGGACACCTCCGTCCCTCGGCCTTGGGGACCCACCATCTCCTGGGCTGCTTCCCACACAGGTCCCCCGGCTCTGTCTCCCCGGGCACAAGGCCTGGAGTCCTGGGGCCTCTGTCCTTCTCCCTGCCTTGCTCCCCAGGGGATCCCACCCCCTCCCCGAAAGCTCTAAATGTCACATCCAAACAGGTGTATGATACTTGTGATGTTGCAATACAATAGATACGTGGGGTCTTCATCCCCGGATCCCAGGAACCCAGCACGGAGCTTCCAAACCCTTGGAATTTCCTGAGTGACAGGTCATTTATTATTCGCAACAAGCCCCTTCCTCCACACCTGGGTTTTTACTAATGATCCTAGGAGGGGGGCTGGTTGCCATAGGAACCAACCTGCAATCAGAGGGTTGGAACTTTCAGCCCCACTGCCCCCCCACACACACACACACAGAGACACACAAATTCTGGGAGAGGTAGAGGGGCTGGAGATTGAATTCAATCACCAATGCCAATGATTCAATCAATCATGCCTACATAATGAACCTCCACAAAAACCCTAAACAGCCTGGACCTCATGGAGGCAAGACCTTTCCATCTCTGCCTGGTGTACATTTCCATCTGGCTGTTCATTCGTATTCTCTAGAATAAACCGGAGTGTTTTCCTAAGTTCTGTGAGCTATTATACCGAATTATTAAACCTGACAGGGGGTGGTGGGACCCCCTGATTTGAAGCTACGTGGGGCCCAAGTGGGGGTAAGCCAGGGACCTCTACTTGCGGCTGGCGTCTGAGGTGGGAGCTGTCCTGTGGGCCTGAGCCCCTACCCTGTAGGGTCTAGCCTACCTCTGCGTAGTTGGGGTCAGAACTGAACTGAATCGTTGGACGCCCATCGGTCCCCACAGGGAATTTCAGAATCGCCCCTTGTGACAGCCCCATGCACTGGGTGTCAGCAGTGTTGGGGATGAAAAGCACATCATGGGCTCATTCTTCTGTTAAACACAACTCTTCTACTTTATTAGGACTACGTTTCACTTTTTTTGACGGTTAAAAGCTTAGTGTCCAAAATGCGATGCGGTTAACATAAAATATGTACCACGTTTCAAAGACTTACTATAAAAACAGAATAGATGATATGTCTCATTAATAATTTTGTGTTGATTACATGTTTCAATATATTGGACTAAATCAAATGCTCTAGACGTTTCTTAAACACCATCTATACATGGCTGTCTCCTAAACATAGACTTCCGGCCCAGGCCCGTCTCTTCCTCTCCAGGCCCGCATGTGCAGCTGCAAAACCCCCGTCACTCAGGGCGTACATGACAGTAGCGCCCACCCACATGCAGGTGCTCCTGCCGCATCCTCCCCACTCAGCAAGTGACACTCCCGCTGGCCCAGGTGTGCCGCCAAAACTCGGGGCCACCCGGGCTTCTACTTCTTGCAACCATTGCCCCCAGCCCCACCACACCAGCAGGCCCCCTCAACTCTACCCCAAACAGGACCTCAAACCACCCCCAAGTTCCCTGCCACCCCTACAGCCCTCGTCCACACCTCCGTGGCAGGGCCTCCCCCTCCACTCCCGCAGCCTGAATCAGCTCCCAGCCCCCCACGCCAAGTCTGCGCACAGAAAGAAAACTTAAAACCCACTCACATCATGCTCAAAACCCTCCAGAATCTCGTTATGTCTCTCAGAAATAATGCAAATTCTTTGCCATGACCTACAAGGCCGGCGAGACCCTGTCCCTGTCCCTCCCGCCAGCCCCACCTGCTCCCTCACTCCCTCTTATCAGCAAGGTGCCCCTGCCAGCCCAGCAAGGCTCATTCCTGCACTGGGCACCTGCACATGCTGTTCCTCCTGCCTGGAACACTGTTCCCCACACCTCCAGCTCGCTCACTCCCTCCCGTCACCTAGGTCTCTGCTCCGATGTCACCTCCTCAGAGGGCCCTTCCCTTGCCCTTCTATTTCATAAAACACACCCTCACTTACCCTGGCTCCAGGCACTAAACCTTTGCTCTGCTTTGTTTTTCCTAACAGCACTCAGCACAAATATTATAGCATAGTTCCCTGTTTGATGGCATCTCTCATTAATCCAGAAGCCTCCCAAGGGAGGGGACTTTGTCCCAATCCTTTCTGTAATCCTGGTGCCAAAAACCATGCTGGTAAGTGACAGACACTTAGTGAATATTTGCTGCAGGAGCGAATACAAACTACCCACTTCTCATCCAAACATTACATGAATGTTTTACGTTGGTCAAGGAACACGTCTCTACCCTCACTTACTATGTTCCTTAAAACTAGGAAACAGGATGGGGATCCCTGGGTGGCGCAGCGGTTTAGCGCCTGCCTTTGGCCCAGGGCGCGATCCTGGAGACCCGGGATCAAGTCCCACGTCGGGCTCCCGGTGCATGGAGCCTGCTTCTCCCTCTGCCTGTGTCTCTGCCTCTCTCTCTCTCTGTGTGACTATCATAAATAAATAAAAAAAATTAAAAAAAAAAAAAACTAGGAAACAGGAAAACTTTAAGATGAAGAGAATCCAGAAATACCAGCTTGTTTGGAACACAGGGATGCATCTGAAAATCAAGCAACCTTTTCAATTAAACATCTTTGTATTTTAGCTGTCTAATTAATGCAATCTTAAAAAAAAAAAAAAAACACTATTTCTGTATAGAGCTCTTCACATCAAAGTCCTAAAAGCTGCCACCTGCAGGGGCTTGAGATGCTAATTTTATTCAAAACCTGATTTTCAAATACATTTCATGGTTTGATTAGGCCACTGCCTTGTTCTCACCGTGCAAGTATCCAAAGGCCATGACTAAACTCTGCTAGAAAATCAGCTTGAGGACATCCTCGGGGGTGGGGAAATGCTTGTTGGTGGCAGAGCCTTTGCCCCCATGAAAGCCATCTGAAACACCAAGCGCTCCCATCTAGTGCTCAAGTGGCACCAAGTCATCAACGCATACTCTCAAGGGAGCACCTCGGGGGTAAGACCCCTCACTCAGAGGCGCAGGACGTGTCTTCTCGTCGACGCCCTGCCAGTGGGCACTCCCTCGCTGGGCCCAGGCTGGCCTGGCACAGCCCTTCCCTTCGGGAACAGAGCACTCGGGGAAACCTACCTGTCACAGCAAAGGTGGAACGGAGGGCTCCCCGGGAGGGAAGGATGAGGCCTGCCCGAGGAGAGAGCATGAGCAGAGGTACGACACACACGGATCACACTTACCCCCCAGCATCTCAGCAACTGCAACAGGACTCGGGGAAATACCAGAGCCAAAAGGAAAGAACATTCCACGTCCAGTCTTTGCACTGACGGTTTCTCCATCTGTCCCAGTCTCTGTATCTCTCTTAAAACACTTGGCCCAGGCAGATATTAAAATAGCTTGGAAGGATTATCTTTGGGGCTATTTGCCAAGATAAGCTCCTAGGCTGAAGTTTCTCCACGACTGACATCTTGGCCTGGATAAATCATTATTCGGGGGCAGGGCAGAAAGCCCAGCAGTGCCGCATCGTGGGGCACCTAGCAGCATCCCTGGACCACCTGTGAGGTGTCCATGACACGCCCCAGGCACGACAACCAGAAACATCTCCAGACATTGCCATGCTCTCTGGAGGCCAAAATCGCCCTTGGTTGGGAGCACCGTTGTCCTGGAGTCCCATTTGCAGGCCCAGAGGAAGGATAATTGCCTGCTCCCTCGAGGATGGAAGCTCTATGCCAAACTCAGACTTGTTCTCAGCCCAGCTTCCAAGGCCCCCTGCCTGGAGCTTCCCTTTGGCACCCACCGTGCACGGGCTCGCCTTTCAGCCCCACCTCCTCTCACCCTGCTTGCCCTTGACAAGTGTGCTTCTCTGCAAACCCTGCTCACCCAATAAGGCTCAGCCCCAGGGCCTCCTCCTCATTAAAACCGTCTTGGATTCCTCATCCCTCCCATCAGAATTAACTTCTCCCTCACATCTGTATGGGAAGCTGCAACTCACCGCACACCCCTCACTGCCTCCTGACAGGGGTGCTATCTGCTTCTACAGGACTCCGAGCTCCCGGAGGGAGGGGCACCCACAGCCCGTACAGCACCCACAACGGCCCCTGCTGCATAGTGGGTTTGCAATCAAAGTCCACTCAATCCTGGGGTTCTGAGGCCTGGCTTGGAAAAGCTCACCCGGCGGTAGCGCACACACTGTGACCGCAACCCCACGACCCACAGCACCGTGCTCTGAGCCTGGCAGGGTCCTCAGGGACCACCTGACCTCATTTTCCCAAGTTAGACATAAGGCAACCAACACTGGGAGTGGGGGGCGAGGTCTAAGCATCCAGAGTGAGCTAAGTCCTTCAGAACCCAGGCCCTCACTCCCCATCAAGACCTTCCATCCCTACTGGCAGCAGTAATGAGCACAGTTGCCTAAGAAGACCTCAGGTGGAAGAGAGAACAATGCTGTGGGCAGGAGAAGAGAGATCCTAGTAAGTCTGCTAATGATGATGTCCGTTCTCAGCATCCTGGCTTCACACGGCAACAGTCTTCAGGCCACGGGCAAATGCATCCATCCAACGTTCATTCTCACTACATTGACTTTTAGTTATGCGATTATAAAAACATGCATCAAATAAGGTGGAAAACCAGAGCAATTATTGTCTAGGTTTAGACCCTAAAAGACCCACTGGCTCAATGATCTAAATGTTAGGAAACAGTCCTTTACTTATTGAACATATTTGAACCCGAGACAGGGGTTTCATGTCTTCCACTTGTATTTGCTACAGTTGGTTTTTTTTTTTTTTTTTTTTAAGAGAGTGCAGGTGAGGCGGTGGCCAGGGGCAGAGGGAGAGGGAGAGGCTCAAGCAGGCTCTACGCTCAGCACGGAGCCCGATGTAGGGCTCTATCTCGCGACCATGAGATAGTGACCAGAGCTGAAATCAAGAGTCAGATACCTAACTGACTGAGCCACCCAGGCGCCCCTTCTTTTTAATCAATAACCAAGCAAGGTATTTTCTACCCTGGATGAATAAGGTGACCATCAGCCCTACAGATCATTTCTCACAGACAACTGTATTCAAATAAGTAATTACATTTGGCAAAAAAAATAAAAACAAAATTGCCCTCATTTTCTATTGTTTTCAGGCAAGAGGCTATCTGCAAGGCTGGCTTCTCCATGAGATAAATACCACAGTGCCTAAAATTTAAGTGCAGCCTAAATTCAGAAAAAGCAGAGTGAGGACAGAGTGATCAGTCCCCAAACCCTGCAGTAAGCAGCATCACCTTGCTAGCACTCCAGCACGCTAAACATCTCTCTACCTAGGCCTGTGGCCGTCACGGGAGGACGTGAAGCAATGACCCCGAGTCCCCACACCTGTCCTGCTGCAGCCGCCCAGGGCCCTGGAGGAGGAGGCACGTGGGGCGCTGCCAGGACAGGGGTTCGTTCTTACCCACAGCCAGCCACGGGAGCATCACAGCGAGCCCCACGTGGACCTGCACTCCAACAAGCTAGGCCGAGATTCTGGGAGTCAGCAAGGAGGTAAAAGCTTCCCCAGGGTCGCCAGCTCTGGCCTGGGAAGGCACTGAGAGGACCAGGGTTCCACAAGCTGAAAAATGTGGAGGCAAAAATCAGAGGTACAGGCATGCCAGGTAGAGGCCATCGTTTGAACACAGGTGGGAAGATGGGAAAACAAAGCGTGGAGCGTGGAATACAGCCTGGATGAGAGCAAGGTCTGGAGAGAACCTCGGAAAACAAGGGCCTAGCAGAAGGCAGGGCAGGGAGCCTGAAGGCCACGGCCGAGCCGTGTGCACGCTCCAACTGCTCCAGTAGTCCAGAACATCACTGGCCTGTCTGGTGCCACTGAGGACACACGTCAAACTCAGTGAATGAACAAACGTCAAGCTCCTTCCTCTCGACCAAAATGAAAATACAGGAGGTACTCTGCACTCATCAGACCGCCCCCGACAGACCTCAGTCACCCTCCGCCCGTTGACCAAAGCAAAGAATGCTCAGGTGTTCTCTAACAAGCTACCCTACTTTACCTTCCAAAAAGATATCTTTTTCTGGGGGAAAAAATGCAACTGTGCCCTTTTTTTTATTAATACAGAGTAAGGAGAGGAGGAGATGTGTGTTCCAAAGCCCAAAATGATTCAGGCTGTGAGCTTCTTGGGATCCTGACTCATGAGGGCTTCTTCCAACTAAAAATAGATGCAATTTCCAGGATCACGCAAGTCCAGGCAGCTCCTCAGTAGATTAATCCTTCTAAACGAGAGGTCAGCCGCGGTGAGGCTGTGGGGAATGGGACCTGCACACAGGCCGTCCGCGGGTCTGCGCACTGGGCGTACCTTTACAGAGGGCAATCTGGTTCTATTGATCAGGCCTTCAAATGCGCTCATCCTCTGACCATCAATTCTACTTCTGGGAATCCACTTTATAGCAGTCGCTCCCTACGTGCCTGTGCCTTCTTCATTTATTTATAGGCTCATCATACATAATAAACACTATATGGAAGCGCTTAGCACATCAGCCTTGGAAATAGTGAAAAAAACTGGAAACTCCCTCCTGTGTTCATCAACAGAAGACGAATGAAATACAGCACACTTCATCCATATCGTACCACGTGTGCAGCACTGAAGAATGAGGTAAACCTTCCATCTAATGAACCAGAAAGACGTATTACTCAATAACACAGGCGGACGTGTGTGTCGGTGGGGGGCATGGCGAGAACAGAAGTGGATTTTAAATACACCAGGAGAGAAAACCAAACTGTTCACGATGGCTCCACTTCTGGGAAATGGATCAGCTTGGTGGCAGGGCTGGGAGGAATAAGATACAGCCTTCGTACTCTCAAGTTTCTCTCATTTTTCTTATTTCTCTTAATTTTTTAAAGAAGCATGAACTACTTTTGTCATTTTTGGAAGAGAACATCTGGAAAGTAAGGTCGAACCCATGAGCCAGGCATCTAAGAAATCGGAGGCTCTCAATCCCACTAGGATATGGGGGCACCATCCAGACACCCTGCCCCCACTGCCACGTGAGGTCCAGGAGGCCAGAGACCGTGTCTGCTTCCTGACACCTCATGTACCTGTCACTGGGCTGGGTACACAACAGGCACTCAATAAATGCTGGATAAGTGAGTGAATGGGGGGCAGGAGAGTTCACTTCATTCATCTGTGCTCACACACTACCCGCAGAGCTCTGCGTGCCCATTGCCCCCCAGACTGTCACCTACGTGGGCCAGAGGTGACAGGTGAGGTTGGGAAACACAGGCCCGGTTTTCCAGCCTGGCTTCCACTCACTACATAAGTCCTCACCTTCCTCAGCCATGGAAAGGTGGGGCTGTCCTGTGCTGGCCCAGGGCACCTTCCAGCGCAAGTGGCTGGAGAACAAGAAGCGTTGGAGGAGAGGTTTCCCTCATGAGGGAGGCTCCGAGTCCACAGGAAGATGGAGACAGCGACAAGCCAGTGTGGGAAGGGAGAGACCTAGACGGGCCCTGACCCTGGAGACAGGCCAGAGTGAACGCAACAGCCGTGGGGCTGAGCAGACTGGAGTGGAAGGTGCCCTGCCTCCGGTAAGCAGCGACGGGCACGTGGACCACGCACTCCTGAGTGAACTCATGATATTAATTCTTCTAATAACTCTGAAAAGCCAGTAAGTGAAGGTGAGAGGTGCCTGACATACGACAGCAGTTTACGACCTAGCCCACCTCCAGGCGCAGCTGGTGCGGCCCCAAAGCAGGTGCTGTCCTGAGCGGTGGCAACACAGCAGAGCGTCCACCCCCCAGGCCCTGGGCAAGGTGAGCACTGCAGCCAAAACCTGCCCGGAATCTGTACCTTTTTGGCCCAAACCACATCGCTTGGCATCAGAGCACCACTACCTCACCTCACCTGAGGAGACGGGCCTCCGTATGAAATGAATCTCAATCCCGCCCCAACGCTGCCATCCTCCCTCGGCCAACAATTCTGGAGCCTTCTATCACTTCCTCTTTTGAATTTGAGGGATTTGGCAGGATGAGGACCCACTGTGTCCTCCACACCCCATGGACACCGCCCCCACGCTCAGTGTCCAGGCTCCGCATTCAGGGTGTCGTGCGCCCGCAGAGTGCGGGAGGCAGGGGCAAGCACCCAGTACTTACTGGCTCACTTTGTGGTACAGCTTCGCGATGCCCTGGTGGGTCCAATCCTTCCCCAGGGTGGGCAGAATGTGGCCAAGAGTATCTGATCTAAATAAAGACAGAATTGAGAAAGAATGCATTAAAAGGGGCATGACAAAAGGGGGAAAGCCCACTCTGATTCACGGGACCAGAAATACCTCATAAAATGTGCCAACAAGCCCCCCGACTCACTTGCTGGACAGAATGACAGTAATGAGAGAATGTTCACGGAGGGCTAGGTTCCCACACGAGGGAGCACCTTCTCCCTGACTACGTATCAAGTCTGTGACTTGCAAAATCAAAGTGAAGACGCCATTCAGGAAGTCGCCCTTGGGGAGCATCCACGTGAGCAAGGGCATGAGGGAAGCAAGCCCCTGCCCCTCGCCCCTTAGCACTACAGCTGCTGAGGCCAGGATGGAAGATTCCACGGCCGCACCACGAGCTGGTGGCACCACGAGCCCAACCACAGGAGCCCTGCGGCCCCACAAGGTAGGCAAACTCGCCCACGGCCCCGAGGCAGCCACACCCACCTGGTGATGGTCCCATCAATGTCGGAGATGATGACTTTATCGTCCCAGTTCCACAGGTAGATGGTGCCCTCGCAGCGACAGGTGCCTTGGTACTGTGTGGTCACGCTGAACACCACGTCGTTCGGGCCATTCTTCAGCTTTAAGCTTTTCTGAAAAACACGAGCCACATGTCCACTGAGGGGAAGGCCCAGATCGAGGGCCACCGGGCTTCTGTTCCACCAGACGCGAGGTCAGGGTCATTGTTCCCGCTCACTGCCCTGGGCCTCTGCATCATTCTGCCTCCAGATGAGGATGGTTCTTTCCAGGATCAGCCAGGCTGAACCCCAGCTCTCCCCACGGGGCGCCCCCGGAAGGCGGCTCATCCACTCCCTGCAGGGTAGAGGGACAGGCCGGCAGGCTTACCACCGTAACTCCACCTTCAGCGCGGGACACACTACGCCATGAATAAATATGACAGACCACAATGGGGGGCACAAAGCCAGGCGTGGAGATCTGTTTCCTTGAGTAACCGCAGACCCGAGGAATTCACAGCAGATTGGGAAACCAAATTACCTTTGGGGGGGTTTGCATCCTGTCGCTGGGACCCGACAGGGCCTGCCAGCTGGCTGCCTGACTCCACGTCCCCCCGGCATCGCTGGCCTGAGCCAGGTGCCATGCAGCGGCACTGAGACGGGGCCTTGGTGGTGTTAGTGGGGGTCTGGCCCTGACCTCTTCCTGTGAAATGTCATCACAGCTTACCCTGGCCCCCCACTGATTCTTAGGATGAAAGCAAAGAAGATACTTGCTCACTGACTGTTCATGGTCCAGGGAAAGAAGGGTCTGACCAAAATTGGTGATATACCCCCACAGAAGAAGACTCTGTGACCATGGTGGCCCCGGCCACCTGCAACTCCCTAAACCCCATTGCAAGTGCTTGATCTCCCCCAACTTAGGAGATGCACTCTCATTAACAAATCTCTCTAAAAATGGAAAGAGCCTGGGAGACTCGGGTCTATCAGTCATTTACATCTAAGGATGCATTAGCTTCATCGGGCTGCCCTCCTCCAACACTTGAAAACAGGAGCCTCTAGGGCCACAATGGCAAAGCGAGGCTGAGGGGCCGGCCTGGCCAGGTGCTGAGGTTGGGGCACCCGGACCACCAGGCCGCAGAGTCTCTGGGTGGCCACGCCTCAGCCAGCGCCCACAAAGACGGCGAGAGAACAAGACACTCACCAGCTGCTCTGAAGTGAGCCGGAGGGTCTTCCTGTAGCTGACATTGGACAACAGAGGGAGGTGGCTTGCACTTGATGGCTTGGCAGCTGCGTGCTCTTCATCACTGGAGGATGATTCATGTTTTATTCTGGAACACACAGTGATGTAATCACCAATTAGGAAATGCATCTGGGTAGCCATTAAAAATGCATTAGGCCGGAATCAATGACAGAGTCAATCGGGTCTCTCCCGAGTACTGTCTCCTGGGTGGTCACTTACCATCTGCCATTACATTTATCAATGAACGCTCGCTAACTCCCATTCATATGCCTCCTGCATTACTCATCTGGGGCTGCCTCTCCTCATTCACTTCCCTGTTCACTAGCTATCATCACTCTATTTTAAACCAAGACGCTCCTTCTTCCTGATAAACAGGGTTAAGCTCCCTCTTGCCAAGGATGCTCGCAAACATTCTGTGGCGGGTCTAAGGCTGCAGGCCAAGGCGGCGAAGTCCAAATTTCTACACACCCCAGCAATCAGGTCCAAGTTTTATGCCTCTCCACATACACGTTTCCAAATAACCAGGAAACTCTCGGATATCAGTCCTCCTCCTCCACAAGCCGCAAACAGGGGCTTGTGAGCAAGGGCTGCACACCTCACCTGCCCGTGCAGGACCCACAGGGCCAAAGCTCCTTACTCCTCTAGACTTCTCTGTTTGGAGAGGGGCTGGGGGATGCCGATGGGAAGCAGGCTCGTTTTCTTTCAACAGCTCTCATAAAGCATATCAGTAATTAGATGTTCCCTCAATTACAGTTCTGCTGGAGCATCATCCCCAACCCAGCAGTGTCAGCTCTGCTTCCTGAGGCCATTGCCTTCAGAAACATCTTAACAAAGTTAATAAAAGTTTGTTAAGGCTAAGTGGAAAAGCAAGCACATCGCATCCTCAGGTGCACACCTTCCTGCAAAGCTTCCTGCTCGGGGCATCCCTTTATGCAAGACTGACATGCCAGGGGCCGGGTCATTTTTACCTCAATGAGCCCTGACTTCTCCATGCTCATGTCATGTCCCGTGCCCTCCGGGCTCCTGTTCTGCCCCCACCTCCCCCCTTCTATGCAGCCTGTTGCTTTCTTACCCCATGTGTTCATTCCAGAGCAGTCCCTGCAATCCACGACTGTCCCAAACTAGGGAGTCACAAGGGAGGACACCGTGACACAGCATCCACTTCTCTGTTATTTCTAAGAGGAGCCGAGCCTCTGTCCACATCTAGGAGGGGCCCTTCCCTAAGCACCTGCTGCCCTGGCCCCACAAGAGGGAGCCTGTGGCCTGGTGGACCGGAGCTCTTTCACCTGATGCTCACTGCACTGCACCAGCTACGGTCAACACAGCAAACAGCCTGGCTCCAGCTGTCCCAGGGCCTCCTTTCTGAACAATCACAAGACCTATGATGGGAAGGCAGACTTGGCCATCACCAGGATACAGTGGCTGTGGTGAATAAGCCAGGGGAACAGGTCACTGTGTCCACAAAGGACAGCACATGTAGGCTAGAATCCTGGTTGGTTCGTGGCAGGCCTGGGCTACGTGTGGATGACTCTAACGCATGACACTGTGGGCCGTCTCTAGGTAGTGAAAATGCTGCAGGGGTTAGAACCTGAGGAGTCCGGGTTGAAACTCCACAGGAATCAGGCTGTTACGCTAAAGAGATTGCTTCTTCTTTCAGCCCTGACCTCCTTATCTCAAAATGTAGAAGAACAAACCGCATCACACCCACCAGACATTCAGGATGCGGGCACATAACCGCAACAACCGGACTGGGAGACACGAGCCGCACTCAGAGAAGGCCTCACACGGGGAGAATTCTGGGTGCCTCTGGATCGTCTCTAAAATGACACGTTCCAACAACAGTACTTTCCAGTTCTGGCCCCCGTGGCTCCTGCGAACAATGCTGGTTCTTCTGAACCTACAACCTACGGATTTCCAGCCCAGGAAGATGCAGTCCTGGAGCCCACCCGGCCCTATAAGCGCCCAGGCAGGAACCAGGATGCAGGCCCCTCCCTGAAGATGAAAGGTTTATGCTCAGACCAACCAGTGTGGAGTGAAAGGAGACCCTGATGTGAACCAGAACTCCCAGGACAACAGACAGACTGATGTGTGTCTCTGCTCAGAGGGTATGGAAAAAAGGCAGAATTGCTGTTAATCTCCATCTGCTGCTTTAAAAAAAGGAAAGAAAAAAAAGAGGAAAAAGAAGAGAGGAGAGGAGAAGGAGAGGGAAAGGAGCGGAGAAGAGAGGAGAAGAGAGAAGAGGAGAGGAAAAGGAGTGGAGGAGAAAGGAGAGGAGAGGAAGAGCAGAGAAGAGAGGAGAGGAAGAGGAGAGGAGAGAGAGGGAAAGGGAAAGGGAAAGGAGGGAGAAGGAGAGGAGGGAGAGGGAGAGGAGAGGAGAGGAGAGGAGAAGGAGAGGGAAAGGAGCGGAGAAGAGAGGAGAGGAAGAGGACAGGAGAGAAGAGGAGAGGAAAGGGAGAGGAAAAGGAGCGGAGGAGAAAGGAGAGGAGAGGAAGAGAAAGAGCAGAGAAGAGAGGAGACGAAGAGGAGAGGAAGAGGAGGGGAGAAGAAGAGGAGGGGGAGAGGAGAGGAAGAGGAGGGGAGAGGAGAGGGAGAGTGAGAGGGAGAGGAGGGGAGGGGAGGGGAGGGGAGGGGAGGGGAGGGGAGGGGAGGAGAGGAGAAAGGGGAAAAAGGAAAAGGAAAACCGCCACCACCAACTCCGTGCGGCAGGCCATGTTTGAGGGAAAACAGACACAAACCCTGAAGCGGGAGTTGTATAGCTGGTGGAGCCAGCTCAGGGCAAGCATGCGACATCCGGGGACTCTGCCACCTGCACAGACCCCGTCCCCCCAGGCCTGCAATGGCCCATGAGCTGGTGCCTGCTTTATGATGCCAGCAAGCAGCACCAAAACACAACAAAAAGGGCGCATCTTGCTCGAAGTCTGTGTTGAAGGGTAGCTGTGAACAACATCTAAGTTAGCACTTGTCACAGTGCGTATTTCTCAAATAGGATTTTAATGATGTGTATGGTGACAAGCATTTTGCTCAATTAGGAGACTTCGGGGAACCGCTCTGTCAATCAAGCCTGTCAATGAGGAGAGCACTCCAACGCCTTCTCTGTCAGCTGTGCCCATCCAATGGGGAGGCTGAACGTCTAAGAAGCTAGGAAAAAATTCAAAGATTTCCATTTCTCTGAAGAACTTGATGGTAATATTTTTCTGAATCTCAATTCCTCCTCACAAGAGTCAATGCTCCATTTTTCAGGTTTAAGAAAGAAGCACAGCGTGACTAACTCACAGAACGGTGAATTGTCTTAAACGATTTCTGTTTAACTGGGAACAGCATCTGTGCCAACACTTGAAGAGGATGGTACCGGATGGTAGGAAAATCAAATGCACCTCACCAGCTGATGCTGCAGCTCCAGAGGAGCCACCCTGGGGTCCTGCTGCTCGTCCCCTCACCCCGGCCTCCCAGTGTCCTTCCTGGACCTCCATGCGACTGCTGGCAAGGGGAGAGGACCAGTAGCAGATGCCGCTGCATGTCACACTACCAGCTAGTGTCATGTTTTGTGCCCTTTTTATATATATAAAATTTATTTATTTATTTTAGGGGGGGGAAGAGAGCATGTGTCAGTGGGAGGAAGGGCAAAGGGAAAGAGAGAGAGAGAGGGAGAAGATCTTAAGCGGACTCCCTGCTGAGTACAAAGGTGCATATCCAGACGCGGGACTCACAACCCTGAGATCATGACCTGAGCTGAAATCAAGAGTCAGGTACTTAACCGACTGAGCCACCCCAGAGCCCCATGTTCTGTGCCTTTTCAACCGTGGGCCAGGTCCACCCCAGAACCACCTCCTGACTGCTCTCACTCGGCCACTGCAGGCACACCTCCTGTGTGACCCTGTCGGGTTTTGCGTCCTGGGTCTCCTTTTTTGTCCTCACAATGCTGTGAGAATTAAATCAGCGGATATACGTGGGGTTGGTAACATCCTTATCCATATTTTGCAGATGGAGGAGGAGACACTATGGGGCTGATGACTTCACCAAAGATCACACAGAAGATTGACAAAGTCTCCGCTCTACGTCCTGCTCATGCTGCCTCTCGTGTTTGGAAATTGTGGCTAGGACAAAGACAGTTCTTGAAAACAATTCCAAGAGAGCGGGATGTTTCTAGTGCAGCGAAACCACTGGTTTAAAGGCTCAGGGCAGGTGGGCTGGCGCCCCTGCTTGTGTCCCCTCTCACCATGTCACCTCTCTCCTGGGCTGCCTTCCCCCGCTGCTCTGGACCTGAACATCACACCTGTTCCTTTGCTCAGATATGGAAGCCAGTTTACCCAAAGCCAGGATTCTAAACCAGGTCCTCCAGACTCCCAAGTCTGCTGTCTACAGCCTGTGGCTGCCCACTCACAGGAGTGAACAATGACCCCCCCCCCCCCCGCCGAAAGTCCACTGGCTTCTGGCCTGCTTTACACATCCCCTTGCAGGACAGCACACCCTCAGCCTGCGCTCCATCGTGAACATACCAGCCTTCTCCCTTCCGAGCTCACGCAAAGGTACACTCAACATTCCAGGCTGGGAAGGTCCCAAGTAATTGTGCTTAAAAGCCCTCTTCCAGAGAATGAGACAGAGACAGAGAGCAAAAAACTGAAAAGTCAACCCCACTTCCCTCTCCAATGTAGATGGGCAGAGGGTCAGGTGCCGGGGTCTCACCAAAGGAAACAGCAAGGGTGCCCCCAGTAATATTCCAGCCAAGAACTGGAGAGGCCTCTTAGTCATTTTCGAAAAGGTCTACATGCTTCTACACACAGAACAATAAAGAAATCAGGGTTTTTTCCTACTTCTACCTATATGGGCTTCTGTTTCCCACCATGGATTCTAGAAATAAAATAGCTGATGATGCAGAGCTTTGGCCAGGAGGCTGAGGACCTGCAATCTAAGCCCGCCTCTCCTATGAGCCAACAATGTATTGGGAAAAACCTCTCAATTCAGTAATAGCTCAACAACACCTACAAAGTACCTGCTACATGTCAGGCATTGGCTTAGCTTCTACGATACAAAAGTGGTTAAGATCTGCAATCTTGCCTTCCATTAGTTCGTAGTATTTCCTGCCGGCTAAATAAGAAATGCAATCCTGGGTTCCTAAATACAGAAATACCCTAAAGGTAAGGTGATATGTAAAAGGTGCTATATCAGCTCACTCGGCGTCAGTATACATTGTCAGCATCATAACCAATGCCTGATGGCTTTGCATTCAGATCAGAGTTGCCCTCAAATCCCATACAAATTAACCTAAAGACAAAACATTAATAGTTATCTATCAGTTGCCAAGTTACTGTGAATCCATATAGATTCTTAGAAAAGTATCAACGTAAGCCCCAGTAAGTATCTGAACTACAGAGAAAGGCAATTTCCTTCTGAAGGAAACTTCTTTCCACGTTGCTGTTAATGTTCACGTTTGTCATCATCCTCCTCCTCCTCACCACTGCTGTTGGATTCCGTATGTCCAGGGCCACCACACACCAGCACCCGGAGAGGCGCTCTAGTTACACGACCTCACTGAAGCATCACGTTTACTTTGCAAGGGGGATATCTAGGGGGCAACTGCCTCCATTTGACTCAGGGGAAACCAAGTGGCTCCAGGTTGTTGAGTAAATCCAGAGCCAGGGCTGCAGGCCAGGTCTGCATGTATATCCGGCAAACCCCTGAGCACCCAGCAGGCACCTGCCATGCCCTGGGACACAGAAGGGGGCTGTCCCAGCCCACGTGGACTCGCGCCGTACCTGGTGGCCATGCTAAGCTGTGACGGCTGCTCCCCGGTGCTGTGGCTCTTCCCAGCCAAGCACTGCTCTGGCTTACTTTCCTGGAGAGCAAGACAAGAAAGAGTCACGAGAGTAGCAAGGAGAAGTAAATGCACAACACAGTCGGTGTTCCACAAGCCCGGGGCAGCGCCCCAAATGCTGTCCCCAACATTACACGCCCCAGTCATGGCAGGTCCCAGTTATTCCTTTGCTTGGAAGCATTCAATTAAGCTGAGAAAATTTTTTTGACAGAAATGAGTCTGTTTTCCATAAGTGTTTGTGGCACCAAACCAAACTTCATAATCACTGTAGCTTATGCAAATGCTTTATCAAGGGCTGCTTGGATACCCGAATATTTTCAAAATATTTTCTTATAATTGCTGATAGAAACGCTTGAAAATATTTTCACACCATATTTTGCTTGGGAAAATGTGGATGCCTTCTCTCTTTCTCAACACCACACACTCTTAATAGAAAATGCTCCTCCGATGTACTGGAAAGAGCTCTGGAACTCTACGAGATCTGGGCTCAGCTCTGCTTCTCTCGCTGGGGAAGCCTAGGCAAGTCATGGAAGCTTCCAGAGCCTTGTCTCCCCACCTGTAGAAGTGCCAGCATCTCCTAACACTGCTGCGAGGACCACAGAGATGCTGCACAGATGCACAGAGCCTGGCCCACCGCAGGCCAGGGAGGGGAAGACACCCCCAGCCCCATAGTCTTTCTGGAAAGTCATCACAGAATCACGCAAGGACGAAGGATGTACAACTAAATCCCATTATTTGGGATCATTTCATTTGGTCAGGAGGTAGGTTAATGTTTTCAATGTTAATAAAGAAAATGAGAAAAATAAATACTATGTCAGGGTGACCATCTTAACAAAGGATGAGTACAAACTCCTTCCAAATATTCTTTAGCTTTTTATAAGCACACAAATGATTGATGTGACAATAAGCCCAGTAATTTTTAATCTATTTACTGAGGTAAGTTAGCTACCATTATCAACAATTCTTTATTAAACTAGTTCAAAAACATATATCTATCTGAAATAAATGTATTTCTGTTTAAGAAATGTTTAATTTCTTAACTATTCCTTCATGCCGGCATCCACCTTAATTCGAACTGGTGACAATGTGAATACTCCAAAACAAACAGGCCTTTGAAATAGGAAATAGCCCTCTGCTAAATTCTAGAACATTCTACTCTCCAGTGGGGGAACTAGAAAGGCCCTTTATGTTTTAAGTCACCTAAAGCAAAGTGTATGTTTGCTCTAATGTGTTTACATCCCTTGAAGGTAATGGAATAATTGGTCAAACTCAGGTATGCTAAGAAAATATCAAACAATTTTATCTTGATAAAATTCTTCCACCAGACTTTTTCATTGAACTCATGGAATAAATATATTGAGCTCACTGGAGTTTCTGTTAGTATTATAATAACCAACCTGACTGCTGTGCTTGGGGTTTCTTTATACTATATTCCAAAAGTAATCAGCATTCCCTCAAATCTTTGCCAAGCCCTGCCCTGTGTCCAATACGGGCACCAGGGATATCCAGAACTAGACATGGCCTCCGCCTTCCTGGAGTTTAGGATGCTGAGGAGGAAGAGACTATGTTAATCAAATAGTCACACTAATATGGATACAATTACAAATGAATGAAAGCAAAGTGCACCTGCAGGGCTAAGAGAGCAGAGAAGGGGCAGCCCAGACTAATCCTCTGAGAAAGAGCTTTTTGAGACGCTAATTAAGTAAAGGAGGGAGTGGGGGGGCCTAGGAACACCAGGCAGAGGGAATGGCATATGCAAAAGTCCTGAGGCAGAGTGTGCTTTCAGCCAGTGAAGCTAAAGCAGGGAGGACAGGGAGAGAATGACAGAAAAGGCTAAAGAGAGACGCAGGGGCGAAGATACACAAGTACAGTAAACCATGTTAAGGACTTTGGTCTTAATTTTAAGAGCCCTGGGAACCCAAAAGCTTTTAAGGAAGAAATAACACAATACGGACCAGTATCCTAAATCGACCAGTGCAGCTATGGTATAGAGGCTGAAGAAGAGAAGGCAAGAAGAGACCAGTCGACCACTGGAAGCAATCCTGGGACAGATGGAGCTAGTCCACACTTGGCAGAGTAGAACTGGAGCAAGATGGGCCTATTGGAGATATATTTAAGATGGTAAACTGATAGGACGTGGTGACGAACTGAATGTGGGAAATGAGGAAGAAGAAAGGTCCAGCCCATGGAGGGACACTGGCACTATTTTCTGACTATGGTCCAATGAAGGAAGAATTCACAAAAATACCGTGAGTTCAATCTTAGAAATGACCAGTTTGAAGTGTTCCGAAGCATCCACATGGAGATGATGTCCACAATGCCGGCTACTTGATAAATGGACACGGAATACAAAAGAACGTCTGGTTTGGAAATAAAACATGGGCATGAGTGGGGCTGCCCAGGGAAAGGCAGGCTGTCCAAGCAGACAAGAAGGCCTAGGACGACCCTCAATGACCCCCTCGGGGGCAGAGCCAGAGTGGGAACAGCCTTAGAAGGAAGAAAGCCCGGCAGACACAGGGGCATGGAAGTCAAGCAAGGAAAGTGCCTCAAGAAAGACACAGAGAGGCTGCCAGAGATCTGGAAAGAAGTACAGGCATTTATAGGCATGGACCCCAAAGTCATGCATGTTTAGACACAGCACTTAAGTTTGAAAGGACTGATGAGAATTAGTCTACCACTCTAAGTACCACCTCACTACAATTATACTCACAAGCAGGGCAGCCCAGGTGGCTCAGCAGTTTAGCACCGCCTTAAGCCCAGGGCATGATCCTGGAGACCCCGGATCTAGTCCCACGTCAGGCTCCCTGCATGGAGACTGCTTCTCCCTCTGCCTGCCTGTCTGTCTGTCTGTCTGTCTCTCTCTCTCTCTCTCTCTCTATCGTTCATGAATAAATAAATAAAATATTTTTTAAAAAAGTTCCTTACTATTAAAAAAAAATTATACTCACAAGCCACAGGAAGATACTTTATTTTTTTTTATTTATGAGAGAGAGAGAGAGAGAGAGAGGGGCAGAGACACAGGCAGAGGGAGAAGCAGGCTCCATGCACTGGGAGCCCAACGAGGGATTCGATCCCGGGTCTCCAGGATCGTGCCCTGGGCCAAAGGCAGGCGCTAAACTGCTGCGCCACCCAGGGATCCCCCAGGAAGATACTTTAAAAAGAGAATTAATCAGATTGAATTCCTCCTGAATTGGCCACGGTCTCCACGGGGTCAGGAGGTGACCTCAGCTCTGTACCCACACCTGCCCTTCCTCTGCACCTTCCCCATGTTCCAGGATGCCTTTACTGCTTCGCCGCAGAGCTGGCTTGTAAAAATTCAGTATCATGGCCTGTGCTTATTTCTCTGATGTACAAGCCTAGAAACAAATTCCATAACACAGAACCCCAAAATTAACTGAGCTAAGTAGAAACACCCTTTTGTTTTCCATGCTTACCTCTTTGATTGTGGTATTTCTTCCTCTCCATGAAAACCACCATCTTCCTCCCTTTCTGGGCATCTTATCCCTCACGATAGATTCCACAGTGGCCTGTTTTAAATGGATGGTAACATAAATAATGGAACCAAAAAAAGATCAACTTAGCACATCCAAACCAAAAGATACACACATGCAAATTAAAGTACAATTTAAAAAAAAATTAGAGAAAACACAACATACTATTTGTGGATTAAAAAATTTCGAGAAGCAGAACCTAATGGCGTCCAAAATCACATGAAGATAACTTAAGCATGAAGACTTAAGAAGATGTTAAAAGAATAAACAAACAACAAATAAAATACAACACAACAACAACAAAAAAAGAGAGCATTGAAAATCATTAGTGATTAGTTAAGACCAGAGGTTTTCAAAGTAAAGTGATTTGCTGGTTAAGATACTGTACTCTCAGTGTGATGATTAGAAAATTAAAAAATGAAATGATTAATATGGAATATAGGGTAAAACAGTTTTAAACAAAGAGTAAAATGCATCTCTTTAGTAAATGTGAATTGCCCAATCTGGACAAAATGAAGCCTGGTAAGGTGCATTTGGATTAAAACCTCAAGTAGCAAAAGGAAAACTCATCCTCTTGCCCTAAAGAAATGAAGGTTTAATGGGGGAAGATTAAATATTAATTAATAATTTTCTAAGTATTTCCAAAGAAGAAAATCTTTCTCTTGAGGTGAATTCCAGCACCAGGTAAATAGTATCTCCTCTCCCTTCCTTGGTTCACAGAACCTATCAGGGAATGGATGACCCTCTCCTCCCACTAGTAATGAAAGAACAGTTTACATCTTTCAACCCAACAGGCTGCAGGTTAAGTAGAAAGATTAAAAAATTCCCATATTTCACCCAAAGTGTGCTTCTTTTTATCATTTAAAAATCCCTACGTGATATGAAGGAAACTGAACACACAGAAAAGCAAACCATGTGTACCCTATTCACCAAGAGGATAATTCACACAGATGTCAATCACCCTATTCCCCCTAAATTCATCCATAAAGGGAACTAAACCCCAATGTAAGAAAAAAAAAACTAGCAGGATTATTTTCATATCTAGGCAAAGCGACTCTCAGGTTCATTTGTAAAACAAATAAAAATAGCCAAGAAAACTCATAGACAGAAGAGTATTAAGTAGGTACAAGCCTTATTAGATATTGAAATGTATTGAAAATCTATCATAATGAAAAAAAACGCATTTTGGTACATGAGTAAACACATAAACGGAACAGAAGACAAAGCCCAGAAATCTAAATTGATAAAGAAACATCAAACAACAGGCTGTAGCTATAACTGCCTATCAGTGAGGAAGGCGGCCTAACCAAAGGTACCGGCATAGTTAGGTAGCTATGCCAGGGCCGGTGGGTTACTTGCCTCCCTGGGCACATCATCCCCTCTCTTTCTTGCCAACACATCCAAAACTCTGTTCATGACTCAGGCGAAAAAAAAAAAAGACTCAGGGGCAATATGTTCTGACCTCCCTTGGTCTCCGCCACGCATGGTCATTCCACTGTTTTGTCAGCACCTGGTTTGGCGGTGATCGTGTGACCACGTGGCCAGTGAAATGGGAGAAGTCTGCCTCTACCCTTCCTGTTTGGGACGGGGCTGTTTGAGAGGATGATGTGGGGGGCAGCCACTTCGTGATGGTGACGGGAAAGCCAAGACAATCACGGAGAAGCTAACCCTGAAACTACCAACCTCGAAGATTCTTACCACGTCGGAGAATAAACCCCTATTATTTAAGCTGCTGGTAGTCATTCTGTTTCCTACAAAGCATCACGATTCAACAACCAGCTGGGGAAGCCCCGACTTGGTTCCTGATACCTCACTCACTCACAAAATAAAATCCGGACACATCAGAGATTTAAGAAAGCACTAGGGGAGGGGCGCCTGGGTGGCTCAGTTGGTTACGTGTCCGACTCTTGATTTCAGCTCGGGTCTGGATCTCAGGGTTGGGAGTTCGAGCCCCGCACTGGGCTCCGTGCTGGGTGTGGGGCCCACATAAAAAAAATAAAAAAGAAAGTACTAGAGGGAAAGTTGACATATTTTCACAAGTTTGGAAAATGGGAACACAGGGCCATCCTAAGTGTGCTACAAGACCCAACAGCCATAAAAGATGGACAAATTCTACATATAAAAGTAATTCTACATCAATAAACGTCCTAAGCAGAGTCAAAAATTACTGACAGCTTGTTAAAAAATTTAGAAAAATTTAGGATACATAGCACAAAGCCTCAGCTTACGAGTCATGCGCACATCTTCTGTGAGTTAAACCGTTTCAGTTAAAGGATATCTCTACCACATTGTTTTTTTTTTTTCTTAGCGATTTGTAAGATAACAATTTACCCTGAGCCATGAATACCATGTATACCATGAGGAAACAAAACCAGAGAGGAAAAATGACCTCAGGTAAAGCACCACCACAGATGAGGTCACAACCTCCAAACCCCAAATGCTACCCACGCAGGTGCGTGCGCACACACACACAGGAAGGAGGGAGCGTGGGCCCAACAAAGTCAGAGCTGACTTTGGAGAACTTCAGATATCCTAACTATCTGACCTGCTGCAAGAAGCACCTGCTGAGTGGATGAGGGAGACAAGGAAAGACATGGTCTTTGCAGAAAAAGAATGTATAATCTAGCAAGAAGATACAATGTTGAAAAGCTGACCAATTCCCGGCGCCCGGCGAGTGTCCGGTGAGTCCTGGGGGGGAGCATGACAGCCTCTTCCTGCGACATCACCTGCTCTCTCCCCAGCGAGGACCTGCCAGGCCCTGCACTCTGCCCTCCTCGCCTAGCAGCACCTGCCGCTAGTGCTGGCCCCCACACCTGATGCGCCTTCTCCCTGCAGCCACACTGCCACCTGCTCAGGCCCTTCTCTCTCATCCCCTCGTCACCCCTGGGCTCTGACATCCAGTCACCCACCTGCTCTGTCCCTACCTACATCCCCAGTACAGCAGATTGGGGAAGGAACCCTGCAGGAGGCAGGCCTTGGTCTGGCGCTGCCACGATTGGGAGGTTTCGCCCTGATAAGCAAGAGGGGGGAGGACATTCAGGGTGCAAGAGAGGGAGATTCCAAACTCCTGACATCTGTAATCATGAACTTCAAAAGATCATAACGTAATTAACTCTGTGGTTCTAAAATAAAAGTTAAATTCTAACTGCCCAGATTAGTCTGCCCATCGTGTTTAGTGCCACCCCTTCGGCCTCATGTTAAAGCTCACCTTTGGCAAAGGTTTCTGGAAGGCCTGCATGGCCAGGAGCAGAGGCGCTGCTGTTGTCCAGTTATAATATCTGATGTGAAAGAATGAAATAGGCGTCAAAGACCAAAGCTCAGCCTGAACAATCTTTCTAACGTCACGAGAGACAGTCCAGGAAAACTCTGGAATCCCAGCTGGGTCCTTAACGAGCCCAATACTGTTGCCAACACCCCGGCCCTCCCCAACTTGCCCCTCCCTCGCAGGGACCCCTCGTCCTGCCGACCTCACAGCAGCCCCTCTTGGGGGCCAAGCACAGACCGGCAGATGTGGTCTGAGACCCCCGTGGCCAGCTGGAGGGAGCCCAGGCTCCGTGACGCATCAAGCCACCGATGCGCCTATGGCATTTCTTGCCACACTTCATGGAAAAGGCAACTAGGGACCCCAGGTTAATACCTAAATACCCCTGACTTCCTCTCGCGGAGAAAAGTTTGCTGATAATCTACAAAAACACCTGCACATCCCCTGACCTCAGTCAACGAAGCTTCAAGGGGTAGATAGGCAGTCTATTCTGTGAACGCCCGTGGACTATACGGGGCTGAGGCTCACAGGCCAGGGGCTGAGACTCGATGGTTCCATTATCAAATCTAGTACAGGGGCACCTGGCTGGCACAGCTCGTTAAGCGTCCGATGCTTGGTTTCAGCTCAGGTTGTGATCTCAGGGTTGTGAGATCGAGCCCCACGTCAGGCCCTCTGCTTGAGAGTCTCTCTCTCCCTCTCCCTCTGCCCCTCCCACTCAGGCTCTCTCTCTCTCTAAAATCAATAAATCTTTTTTTTTTTTTTTTTTTAAATTTTTTTTTTATTTATTTACGATAGTCATACAGAGAGAGAGAGAGAGGCAGAGACACAGGCAGAGGGAGAAGCAGGCTCCATGCACCGGGAGCCTGACGTGGGATTCGATCCCGGGTCTCCAGGATCGTGCCCTGGGCCAAAGGCAGGCGCCAGACCGCTGCGCCACCCAGGGATCCCAATAAATCTTTTTTAAAAAACCTAGTACGGATGAGTATTAAAATCCACGAGATTGACAGTTACATCAACCTACCAGCTATATAACAACACAGTATTTTGCCAAGAGTGAAGAGATGATAATAAATTGTAACAAGGACTTCATTTCACATGTTTCTAAGGTTTACTGCCTGGGTCTTTGCATCGGGAAACCTGAAACGCAAACAGTCCCATGTGACAGCCAAAATGACTTTCAAGAGGAACCTACTTATTCCCGATCTTCACCACAAGATTGGGGTCATCGATGAGAGCCGGGTTGTCCACAAACTGTTGATAGGACACAGCTTGTTCCAGAAATGCATCTGTGAAAGCAATTGTACAGAATAAGGAGAAAAGAGAGGGAACATTTTCACCTGCTCATTCACAAGTGTTTTCTGAGAGCCTGTGCATTCCGGCTGTATAGACAATTCTTCAACTGTGTTTGTAAAGGGGCCTCAGTTAGTTTCGGGGGACAGCGTCTGTGTGGACATGAAGGGTGGCCGGGGGCAGTCCAAGGACATGGGGGAAGCATATGTGTAGGCAGCGAGGCAGGGAGAGGTGTGTGGGAAATACAGTTTCCCTATGAGAAGCAGATGAATGGCGAGCAGGCTCAGAAACCAGGCCACTCAGCTCAAGTCACATTTGTCAGCGTGAGCTTGTGTTGAGCAAGTAATCAGCGTCCCTGAGCCCCGGTTCCCTCGTCTGTAACACGGGGATAAGAAGCCTGCCTCCTCAGTGGCTGGACGAGGTCGTGAGGAGAAAGCACCATGCCCCGTGTAGAGCAAGGTCTCACTCTGTGTCAGTGGGCGTGGTGCTGGTCACTGTCACGTGCAGGACATGCAGGACACAGGGGAGGCCCGGCCTCCTGACTCCAGCTCCTGTGACGAGCTCTGGCCTAAGCCCCGGCCTCCACTCAACGTCCCCCATTCAGCCGGGCCTTGTCTTGAGCCTTGATGACAGCTCTGACCATCTCTCTGGCCCTAATTTGTCCCTATTCCTTCCCTAGGGGAGCCTATATACCCTGGATGGAACCAAGGCCCAGCAGACCCTGGACGTTGGGAGTCACCCCTGTCCAGCAGAAAAAGACCCCATGGTCCTGATGCCAATTCAGACTGGCCATGACACGCACCTGAGGGATCCTAATTCATACCACCAGGTACTCTCCTCGGGGACTCCGGGCCATGGGAATCTGGCTTCATCTGTATGGACCCCCGTGAGATGACAGTGCGAGTGCATGAGAGAGGGGGCACCATCGGACACCAGCCTCCTCGGAGTGCGCTCACCTCTTCAAAGCCCCAGGGCAGTTGGGGGCAGAGATGTGCAAACAGAATGTGGCTGGTTATTAGAGGGGAGGGAGTCTTACAACGACTTCCTGTGATGGACTAAACCCGCTGGGTCACATAAAGTAACCCCCTTCAGCTCATCACCAGGGGGATGGATTATTAGCTGGTTCAGGTTCCAGAATAAGGGGCCCCACCGTCTGTGTGAGAAGAAATTCACAAAGCCCTGAATGGACTTCAGGAGGGAGACAGGAGCGTAGGATGGCCGCCCAGGGCAGGAAGGGGAGACGGTGGCTCCTGAGTGGCAAGGGGATGAAGGGCACACCCTCGCCCATCCCCGCCTAGAAAAACAGGCCACTGTTGGCAGGGGTGGGGGGCGTGATGAAAAAGAGAGGCCAGTGGAGGTGGGAGGGTGAGAGAGGGACACCCGGGCGACTAGGTCCACTCGAAAAATTCATCAGTCGGCAAGGACTGATGCATCCTCCACTGGGGGTGTTGGGGCCACCTTACCACGTAGCTGTCAGGAGACCCTGGGAAACCACCGCTACGAATTAACCCACCACCTCCGCCAAGCCTATGAGCACCCCTCGGATCCAGCTGGCAAGCGCTCTGGACTTGCTCAAACTCAGACGTCCCTCCCTCCCCAGGCCCCACAGCATTTCCGCACACTTGCAATGCACCGTGTTTCCAAAACACCGACACTCCCACCGGGCGGCAGGCCCCTGGAGGACACCTCTGCAGGGCGGCCACCAGGCAAGGAGACCCCCATCGTGCAGCAAACACGCCTGACGACATGTGGCCCCGAAGCCACGTGTGACCACCACAACCCTCCGGGCGGCCCACCGCCAGCCAGCGATGTTCAGAGCTGCAAGGAGTCATTTGTGCCATCCCCCCAGCAGGAGCACAGCCAAGGGACAAGTGACACTGGATGTGAGCCGGAGAAGCCCGGGCTTCTGGACGTTCCGGCCGCGGGCCACGAGGGGGCGCTCGTGGCTCGAAGACGGGCCGCGGGCTCCGGTACCTTTGGTTATCTCCCTGTTGTCGCTGAGGCCCCCGCACAGGGAGATGGCGATGGACGGCAGGTCCCGCAGGCCGTCCGAGGTGCTCTCCACGCCGCTGTCGATGCCAGAGCTGCCCACCGACTGCGGGGACTGGTTGGCCGACCGGGCTCCGTTGTCGCTGGCGTGTTTGGCGAGCCCCGAAGGATCTCCGCTGGGAGGAGGAAGAGGGGAGATGTGCTGACGTCACAGCAGCAGGGGACCCCCACCCCATGCGCCGGCCCAGCTCCCAAGGCCACAAGCGAGGCCACCTCGGGACCGGGACAAGGACAGACGCGTAAAATGAACTACTGTGGGAGAGAAGTGATTCTTTTATTAGCCTCTTGTCCTCCCAAGCCTCTGTGACATGAACCACAGAGAAAGAGGCCACAGGTCGCGGCCACCACCCTCCGAGGAGCCAGCCCTCCCTGCAAGTCACAAAGCTGAACAGGGGTCCCCAAAGGCCACAGGAGAATCTCTCCTGGGGAGGGAGAGGGCGGTGCAGCCGCCCCCTCTTGGCCACCGATTCGGGTTGTGGGCCACTGCCCCCCGTGACATGATTGTGGTGTCACCCTGGGAGCCAGCCTCGTGCCTGCCTTCCCGGTCAGAAGGTGGGAAGCCAGCCACATGGGGATGTAGCCACACACCCGTCTACAGAGAAAGGCCATTGTTTTCTGGTTGCTTTTCACAGTAAAATCTGGGCCTCCCGCTGCCTCTTCCAGACTCACACAGTTGAACATAGAAAATGATACGAGGAACAAAAAGAAATCTTACTTTTTAGGAAAATATAGGGCAGCCACCTCAGGATCCATGTCTGTGAGGTCATCCAAGTAGACGCCGTCAGCACCCAGGTGTCTGCTCCGCTTGTCTGAAAGAACAAACGGGTCAGGTCAGAACTCTGGTCTTCCGTGGACTTCTAAGTGGCTCCAGAAAGCAGTTGAGCCTAATGTGCAAACTAGCTCACAAGGGCCCCCCCGGCCCAGGAACACAAGAGCTGGAAGTCAGCAGCGTGGCACGACTCCAGAGGCGGACTAACCAAGTTGGCGTCCACCCCCCACTGCCAAGGGCGAGCCCTAGACCGTTGTGTGACCCTACTGAGCTCCACCCCCACCTGTGCCTGACATGTACCCAGCACTCAATATCTTGAAGCGATTGTCATCATGATCTTTAAATGATATGATGATGATGATGATGATGATGATGATACACTTGCTTGTATCAATATCCCCAGGCCCAGCAGCCTACGGGGTACATCGGCGGTCACTGTGCCGAAGTCCTGTCACCAGGACTGCAAGCTTCCTGTTTCCTTCTGCCAGAGAATATTGTCACTGGTTCATACAAATCTAGAAAGCGGCACCAAGCTCCATGGTTAACAGAGCAGGCTTGATGCCATCCCTCCTGCTGCACAACCGAGCGTGTATCAAACCAGCTGTTACGGAGCAATAACTATGTGCCAACCATTATTCTGAGCACAGACAAAATGAATGTAAACCAGACCAAAAAGATTCTAGATCCCACAGAGCACGTATGTTCTAGTAGGGGAGTTCCCGGCAAAATAAAAATAAGCCAATGTCATCTGAAATAGTGATACATGGCATGTCAAAATTAAAACAGAGAAATGAGCTAGATAGAAACTCAGGGCAGGGGGCGAGGGGACCAGGATTAGCTCAGTAATCAACGTCCTCTGGAGCCCCACGTGGGTGAACAAGACTTCATCCCTCTGGATCCTCCTAGCACCCCAAGCTATAAAGTGAGGGGGCTCATTACACCACCCCAAGGCTTCCTTCAGTCTGATTTTCTAGAACTAAATTCTGATGAGTTAACATCTGCAGCAAAAGGGCATACACCGAACATGCCAGCTTCCCCCCTGACATATTCAGGACTTCCAAGGGCAGGAAGGGTAACATGCCAAGCACCAAGTCTACACAGAAGGAGCTGGAACATGCTGGCCTTCCCACCTTTTTTCCTGGAAGGAGAATCCGTCTTGCTTGCTGTCGAGGCTACGCTGGCAGAGAGTGGTTTGGGTTCTTCAACTGTAGGTAAAGGCGGGGCTGCAGCCCCTAAGGCCTCGACATCTTCTTCGTTCACAAACTGCATCTCCGTGGGAGGCCTGCCCGGCTCTGGGATGGACGTCACGGGCAGCCTGGCCAGGGTTGGCGACTGGTCACTAAACGCATCTGAAGATTCACTGTGAATGGTCTGAAAGTGCATCTTATCACAGATTTTTCTACTGTTTAACGGACTGCAGTCTTTCATCTTGTGTGGAGATGACTACGTCGAAGGGGCAAAGAGACAGAGACAGAGGAATGGTCAGAGTGTGGGCAAACAGAAAAACAGAGTTAACCCAAGTCACACAATTAACCCATTAACAATCTGCAGAACTGTCCGCCCATTTTGCAGAGAGATGGGTAAGCCTCATGATCTCCGTGCCTGCCCAAGGAGTCTACACACCAGAATATCAGTCCCAAAGCAAATGAGCTTTCATATGAAACATCAACTGCCAGATGGGCCTCGTAATGGCCAACAAACAGAAGCAGCTCAAGTAAGTGTCCATCCGTAGAACAGGAAGTATATTCACATGATGGGTAGTTCGCAGTGATGACAACAACTGAATTACAGTTACATACGATACCATGATGAATGTCACCAAGCTAATCTCTGCTGTGAGCGGCAGGAGGGTCTTTATCCCTCTGCGGGGTCGTTTGAGCAGTAACTGCAAAGGGTGGGGCTTCCGAGTTGCTGGTTAGGTCCCACATCTCCTTCTCCGTCTGGGTGCAGGTCCCATGGACACGGTCACAGTGTGAAAATTTACAGATCTGTACACTTACGATCTGTATGCATGTTATATTTCAATGAAGTTCCAATAAAGGCCCAAAATATGAGTGAAGAAGTACAGATCTGGGGGTTGGTTCACATGAGTGGGAAGTCAGCATTCCTGATTCTACTCCTCCAAGGAGTTCCCAGTTACGGAAAACAATTATCCAAACAAAAATCAAACTGCAATTTATGGGTTGGAGGGGAAGGGGGAAGGTATTCATGTCTGTGTCCGATCTCACAGCTTCTAGCACAAATGAAAACAACACGACAGCAGGTCTGTGGTTGGAAGCGTTTTGCCAGAAGAAGTGATGGGTTAGCACTTTCACGCCATTTCCCCAGCAGCAAACGACATGGATTTGTAAAGACGGTTGGCTGGGTCATCACTACAGCCCATGGGCAGAGAAAGCAGCGTTTTCCACGAAAGCCAAATATAACCCAGAAAAGGAAAGAACCCACAACTCTACCTCAACAGACCTTCCCTCCCAAGAGCTGCCCATCCGGATTCTTAGTAGGAATGCTTTCAGCACTGACTCACTCATTCATTCATATTACAAATATTTACCACGGATACAAGAAGCTGTAGCATCTTCTAAAGGCCGTGCAATGTTAAAAATATTCTATAGTAATGTTTTTAAGATTCTTTTAAGACTGGAATATGAAACAAAATTTCTTGAAAGAAAACACTGTGCCCATTTCATGTTTTTAGAAACTATCTTCGGTATATGGACAGAATTGGGGCCGGGGGGAGGGGGAACTTACCTTTGCAGCTTGTGGCAATTCTCCCCAAAGCCAGAGCATTTCTAGGTTATTCTTCTGCATCGTCCTATCGGTGGCCTTACTGACCAATTCTGAATCACTCTTAGGTGTCGAAGGTCGAGAACCTGAAGGACTAAAGAAAACACAAGCCCATGATTAAACAGGGAAGAGAAACTTTTTTAAGATGTTTTTGGGGTCCAGAATTCTATGGTTCAAACAGCCCAGAAAATGCACACAAGCTTCACGACATTCCCACCTGTGGCCACCAGGGGTCCACAGAACACAGGGCCTGGATGGAAGGTGCTCCCAATTTGGGTAACCTAGCCCAACCTGCCCCCCAGTTCCAAGTAAAGATGAGAAGAAGCAATTAGAAAGGAAAACCGAGGAAAGGAGTGATGACAATAGGAAGGGAAAGAAGTCTCTTCTCATCTCAAAACCACCTGTCTTTCCCCCCTTCTCACCCTGAGCTCACCTCTCCTGCATTCTCAACTCTCAAACCAAGTCCATCAGCTCTCACCTGCAAAGGGGGGCTGCTGATCTCAGACACGTACCCATTATATTCGATATCTAAAATATTTACGAATCCACACTGGCTTTGGAAACAGGAAAACCGCATCACGTGCCAACTTTGCCACAAATGCCAGGTGCCAAGAATAAACTTGCTTAATGTGGCAGGAGCCTCTGTGTTGACACTTCATAAAATACTCTATCTTCCAGGAACACCTCAAAGACCCACCTGTGTGCTAAGGCCTGTTCTGTAACAACATATCACAAGGCTCAATTCTCGGGCCAGCTTTTAAGTGGTTGTAACTTGTGTTCCCAACATTTTCCATATTTCTATTCTGGCCTGAACAAAGCCTTCCCTCTGTTCAGCCAGAGTGACCAGCCAAGGGTAATCAACTTATCTACAAACGTCTCACAGTATCCTAAACAACATCTGGATAGGAAAATGTGTCCCTTTGATCACTCCCTGACTTCATCCTCCTACATCATGTCCCCCAGAGTAAGACAAAGGTGGTACATGAAGCGGGGGACAAAGATGCCGTTTTCCTTTTGCGCCCTCTTTTACAGACATTCCACTCTCCTGAGTCCCACTCACCATCATGCTGGGCCTCATGGACCTGTCTGAGATAGACTTCAACTCCCGCTGAATATAGCTTCCTGTCAGGACAAGGAATGGTCATAGATGAAAGCTAATATGTATCAAACCAAGAGGGACCCTTAATGGTTAAAGTTTAGGTCCCAGATCTCTTCAGTTGGGCCATTTGGATCAAACAGACTAACACTCTCTCTCTCTCTCCTCCATTTCACACTGAGATGCTCAGAGGCTGGTTCACTGTCCATAGTGCCCAGTGCCCACCAAACCATCCCCATGGTATGTGGCTACGATGCGGCCCTCATGCTCTATTTCTCCATGTGTGGAGAGGAGGGCCCTAAGACAGCGTATTGCGGGAGTATATACAACAGGACACCTCTCCCAACACACACACACACACACTCACACCCTCTTCTGCCCTATGAGAAGTGGTCCCATAGGAGGAAGACAGATAGCTCCATACATCTAGGTGATAGAGTGTTCATCACTGTCCAACCGTGCTCCCTTTAGTCCTCTAATTATGCTTTTCTCCCTAGAGTCATTGCTTTTCTGGCACTGGTTATCTACGATCCTATATTCACTATCAGTGAAATGTGCAGAGAGGGTGTTGCAGCTGCCACTGTACCTAAAACCGTGACCTGAACCCATTTTTTCTCCAGAGTCATCACAGGAAAAGTCCACTGGAATCGGCTTCCTATCCTCAACAGCTTGCACCCAAATCTCAAATCACTTGTTTAAAAAGCTCCTATCATATTTTATTACATAAAATATCCTTTATATTTTGTGGAACAATAACTGTCTTACCCACTACACTAAATTAAGCAAAGCTCTTTAGACAAGAGTTTGCTCTGAGTAGGTGGTCAGCAAACTTTGTAAAAGGCCAGAGAGCGAGTACGTCAAGCTTTGTGGATTATCCGATCTTTGTCCCAAGTGCACAACTCTGCCGTGGTAGCACAAAACTGGTCGTAGACGATATGTGAACAAACTGGCTGCACTCCCATAAAACTACAAGAACAGACAGTAGGTCGCGGTCGGCCCATCGACTGTAGTTTGCCAATCCTTGCTCTAGAAGGCAAATGCTGAACACAGTTCTTTGTGACGCCAACTCCAGAATCCCCGCTGTTCCGATCCTCTGATAAACACCCTAAGCCATAGGTTTCCAGAAGTTTTCAGGTCTGCAAATGCCTTCACAGAGAAACAAGCCCTGTGTGGAAATCAGAAGCTCGGAGTCCCACCTCTCACACCCGATATGCCACCACAATACGTGGTGGCATGTTGGCAACACCAGCCTTTGTCAAAGGATTCTGTACACGAATACATGCACAGGCTCCATGGAATTCAGACTGACAGAAGGTGAATCGGGGAAAAGACTCCCACCACTGGGAATGATTCATAAGAAAGATGGTGGTACCAGATTTTCCCGTTATCAAATATTAGACTTTTAAGGTCAAGGGTTGTTCAAAAAAGTAAGCTTACAAGGTCCGTGATTGATTTTCATTAATAGTGCATTTACTAACCACATAATAGTTTTCAGGATTTTGCCAGTCCTGGTTAGGCAAGTTAGTTTTAACCATTCAGGACTCAGTTTACCCCCTTTCAGAATGGCCTTTCCACTGCCCATGCAACCTCCAGATGAAGCACATCCTGAGACTTGGTTCTTTCATCAAAAAGAAAACCGGTTTCCCAAGTAGAAAGCAATCAGAGGTTCATTTGTTAACGTCCATGTGAGTCCATCATGTAGCTTGGAGTGTGGACAACACGGAGGAAAGGGAGGCAGGAATCTCAGACCACGGCAACTGATGAAAATACAAATCTATGATCCTACACCTTAAGATCCACCCCATGCTACACTCCAAAATCCCATTCTAGAAATGCTGTGAAAACAGGATTCCATTATTCAGTCTAATGAGCTACTTAAAGACTTATAATAACTCCCCTTATACAAAAGATCTTATAAACTTACTTGTTGAACAACCTTAGACAGAAAGCAAAGATCATATTACCAATTTTCACATCATTATTCTGTGTTGCAAAGCACTCCACAAAATTAGGAAAAACTATATACTTAGCCATAATTCCCAGAGAATCAAATTTAGTAGTGAAAAAAATTTAATCATCTACAAATGTTTAAAATCAAAGGAAAATAATCATCGCTAGGTATTTCCTCTATGAGTAATTTGGTTAGTCAAGTAGATTTATAAGAGTTAAACCAAAAGTTTCGCTTCTACAGTCTCTATGTGTTTCCGGCATAAGTAATTTGGTCAATGGTTAAAAGATTGGTAAGGGTTAGATCACAATTTTTATTATCCAAGACCCCAAGTGGGGAAAAGAGCCCCTCTACCTTTCTGAAGCATGGAAGTATGAAGGCTGTGGAGGGCAAGAGCTAGAAAGGCCTCCCTCGGCCGCAACTGCCAGGTGGGGGGCAGTCCTTTGGCAATCTATCGGGCTACTGGATACCACGTGATATACATTAAAAGAAAGAAAAAATCATAAGTCAATTAAATTAAGTTTCATATAAATTCTTTTGACTACTCTCCACAATAATATTTGTTAGAAAATGAACATACTTAGGCCTCTGACAACAGCAGAATGCTATCTGTTGAAATCACTATGAAATCAACACAAACTTTTTGAACCCCCAAAACAAGTGGAAACCGTCAAAAAGACTCATTTCATTTTCGAATTCATCCATATGCCCATAAAAGATTGTTGTTCTCTGGTCAGAATTTAGTGCTTAATCAAACAACATAGTCCAAAGAGCTGATAATTTCTGCTGCCAGTCGTCTCTTTAAAGAAAACATGTCATTCCAAGTATGGAAATGTACCTGTGCTAACTTGTAATTGCATTTGACAGCAGTCAGACTCACACGATCTGACACAGTCGCTATCCTGGATTCATAGAGCAGGAAAGACAGAGGAACACATCAGGGTTGTGTTTCCAACATTTATTTTAAACTCTTAAAATTATGGGCAGCCCGGGTGGCTCAGTGGTTTAGTGCTGCCTTCAGCCCAGGACGTGATCCTGGAGACCTGGGATCAAGTCCCACATTGGGCTCCCTGCATGGAGCCTGCTTCTCCCTCTGCCTGTGTCTCTGCCTCTGTGTGTGTGTGTGTGTGTGTGTGTCTCTCATGAAAAAAAATAAAATCTTTTTAAAAATTAATAAATAAATAAACTCTTAAAATTAATATGGGAGTGTTTGAGCAGATTTTTCAACCTATTAGTGGTTTCATTCCACATAATCTCCTTCCTAAGGTACCATCTTTTTCCCTCCTTAGGGTTCATTGCTACACATGTGGGAGGTTCCAGAAAGGTCTAACATCTGCACTGTCCCTTATGACAGCCACCAGCTGCACGTGGCTATTGAAATGCGACGTGTCCAAACTGAGGTGGTCCTTATGCGTGAGCTACACGGTGAACTCAAAGACTTAGTGCGGAAACAAGAATGTGAAATGTCTCATGAATAACTTTTTGAAAACGAATTACCTTGGTAATATTCTGGATACACTGGGCCAGAGGAAACAGATTATCAAAATCAACTTTATCAGTTTCTTCTCACTTTCTAAGGATGGCTGCTTGAAAACTGTACATGTCCTATGTAGCTAGCATTCTGTTTCTGTTGCACGAGGCTGGCCTACAGACCGACCCCCCCCCCCCGAGCACACCTCCAGGCCCCAGCCCCGACCCTGGTGCACTGACACTTGCTGTCCCAGTCCTGGCTGGACGAGGCATGGGACAGATCTGGTTCTCTGACTCGGGACTCCAGCACACGCTGCTCACTGTGCTGTCCTGTTGGCGAGATCACTCGGAACCAGGAGTGATGTTTGGAGGACTCCGGCTTTAGGCAGGGAGCCTTTGCAGCAGGGGCTCTTACACTTCCACTGAAAACTGTAAGTCCGTCTAACACATGAGGAACAAGAATAATCCAAGAATGTCCCTGTCACTAAGATTGGTGTTTCTCAATCCCTTTTCATGGTTAGTGCACCCCGGGACAGCGGAGGCATTCCCCCCTCCAACTGTGGCCCTCGCTCCACCATGGAATTTTATCACCACGGATGGACTGTGAATGTGCTCACCATGCTTGGAGGCCCTGTAGAGGCCGCAAACCATTATAATATCTAAGAATTCTCTGCTGCCCAAGAACCAGGTTTTGTCCCAATGGGGATGATACTGTCCTTGCTGAGAACATGTGGGTTACATCTGTCCCTTCCCCAGTTCTTCTGAAAAGTACTTGGAAGGGCTCATGTACTCTCAGGCTCTCAGGGGTCTCATTGTCTAAAAGTCTCTGGGGTCTTCAGGACGGCAACCCACACACCGAGCAGGTCTGGGTCTCCCAAGTTTATACAATTCTTTTTGGGGAAATAAACATTCTGGCATTCAGCAGAAGGGATTGAGCATGAGGAGAGGCCTCATTCTGACAAGCCCGAACCACCTCAGTGGCTCCTGAAAGAACGGCTGCACTCCCGAATCCGACTTGAGGGCTAAGTGTCAAGAAAGGCCCCACCACCTGTTTCCTCCTATTGACAACCAGCACTGAGTGACTTAACTGGTTTTTCTTTCACTGTCACCTGTGGAGAGCTAAGAGCTATGTTTCCAGCTTGCATATGATTTCAGATAGGAGTCTACGGTCTGCATGTGTTCTTTGTCAATCCTGATCTGTACCTCTGACTCTAAACTGCATTTTTTCACTTTTTACTTATATTTCATGATTTTGTTAGACACGCTTCATACAATTGACTTTAAACCCTCTGGACTGGGGTAGGCGAACGCACACACCTCCCCCAGCAGCTTACCTTGCGCTGGGTGACCACTCTCTATCAGAATTAGGGTATGATGCCGACTGAGGATAAGTCATGATGGGGGAAGGGCTTTCCTTAGAAACATCTTCTTGGAATACAGGTATATCGTTAGGAAGATTTCTGGAGGGGAAAAAAAAAAAGACCAAAGTCAAAGCCTTATTAGTGATTATTAGTGACAGATTCATAATACAGATTCATAATAAAGGCAAGTCTCCCTTTTATCTTATCTCAGTTCTTTGTTATATGAACATGATCTCTTTCTGACCCACTCAGGCAAATTCCGGGCAGCGGAGAGGGAAAAAAGTGACAAAGAGACACACATAAATGTGCTCATGCTTTGGCTGGATTATAAACACAAAATCACTGTATTCAAGCATCTAGACTGACACACAGTGCATAATGGTGATCCTGCTTGTCATTTATTTACACTGTTGCCTCTGAAACTGGACCCAGGAGGTTGTAAAAGCCTTGCTGTGCACGGCGGAGCTGCCAAGTAACCAAATGACCACACACAGATGATGCTTCATCTAGAAAAATAAATAATCTATATAAACTAAATGAGGGGCACCTGGGTGGCTCAGGGATTGAGTATCTGGCCCAGGGCATGATCCCAGGGTCCTGGGATCGAGTCCCCCATCAGGCTCCCCACAGGGAGCCTACTTCTCTCTCTGCTTGTGTCTCTGCCTCTCTCTCTGGGTCTCTCATGAATAAATAAGTAAAATCCTTAAAAAAAATTTTTAATTAAAAAAAGAAAGAAACCAAATGAATCTTATAATTACGAAATGATTGCAAATCGACCTTGTTTTCAGGTAGAATGCATTCATTGAAAAAAATCATGATCCACTCTTCCAGTCACACAGAGGCCATCTGTGTGTACCTGTGATGTTCCCTGAAATATCTATCACTAAGTTCTGGAATTAAAAGCCAGGCAGGGATAGCAACTATAATAAGCCCAAATACCAGTTTGTGAGCCTACAGCAGACTAGAGGCTATAGTTAGGAAAAGTGACATTGCCAATTCGACTGTATTTTTAGCTAGGGGAAGAAAAAAATCCTATTTTGAATAATGAAGCAGAGGGTTACTCCTGATGCTCCTTATCCCTTCTTTATGTTAACAAGGCACAAAAATAATCAGCAAAAATTAAACTGAATTTGAGGGGCACCTGGGTGGCTCAGTTGATTGAGCATCCTCTTGATTTCGGCTCAGGTCGTGATCTCAGGGTCATGACATTGAACCCCATGTTGGGCTCTGCTCTCAGCAGAATCTACTCAAAATTCTCTCTCCCTCTCCCTCTGTCCTACCACCCTCCTCTCTCTAAAAAAGAAAAAATACATACATATATATATAATGTAATATATATATATATATATATATATATATATATATATACACACTGAATTACATGAAGATCTGAAACATCAAGTATACTTTACAAATGAGATTCATCTTTTAAAACTGGCCATTTTCACTAAAATAGTAATGCACAGAAAGAGAATTTCACCACCCTGTTAAAAGCAAAGAAAAGTTATGCAACAGGGCAGCCCGGGTGGCTCAGCGGTTTAGCGCTGCCTTTGGTCCAGGGCCTGATCCTGGAGACCCAGGATCAAGTCCTGCATCGGGCTCCCTGCAGGGAGCCTGCTTCTCCCTCTGCCTGTGTCTCTGTCTCTCTCTCTGTGTCTCTCATGAATAAATAAATAAAATCTTAAAAAAAAAAAAAAAAGAAAGAAAAGTTAAGCAAGATAACCATGAAACCTCAAGCCTAATCAAAGCTATAAAGGAAAAGCCTGCCTGGAAAGAAAACTGGTTGACATATACTTGTGACCAGAAGTCTATCACAGATCAGTTCCCAGCTACGCATCAGCCCACTGGCAGGCATACAGCTGGGGCCCAGATAAGAGCAAGCCCACTCTAGAACACTGGTTTTGTGCATGAAGTATTAATTTGCTTACTTCCCTGCCCCTCTTTGTTCTGTCCTGGATGCTGAAGTGGCCAGACGAGGAGGTCAGGTACCACCAACTGCCTTGTAGTTGTAAGCAACCTCAAATCTTTATACTACTTTACCGTTAGGTCCACGGAGTTCTAAAACTCAGCGTAAATGCGTTAACATAACAATAAGGAATGCTGGGGTGCCTGGGTGGTTAAGTGGCTGCCTTCTGCTCAGGCCCTGATCAGATCGAGCCCTGCATCAAGTTCCCTGCTCAGCAGAGTCTGCTTCTCCTTCTCCCTCTGCTTCCTCCCCTCTGCTTATGCTTGCTCTCTTTTTCTCTCTCAAATAAATAAAATCTTAAAAGATTTAAAAGAAAAAAGATGATGAAGGAATATTGGGAGAAAAAAGGAGTTTGTTAGAATCATCTCAAAGAATGAAGGCGCCCGACCCTGACGCAGGTCCTGCCTTTCGTGCACATTTACCTACTGCTGTCCAGCGGGTCAGCCTGGTCGTCGGAGCTCATCTCTATGGGAAACATATCCTCATCCTCAGAGGTGTTTGTGTTGTCATCTCTCTTCAGGGTGTCCAGCTGAGACTTTCTCCTCCTTTTCCTTCTCTTCTTTACTAACGAGCCGCTCGAAGGGGCCTCACTGGGAGGCAGGGCCTGGGCTGATGTGTTGGGGTCCAGGCTTCTGATCCTATCTACAGGACTCCTTTTCAGCTGGCACTCCATGCGCGAAGCTCCCTCCGACAGGATCGGGGAGGTGGCCAGGTACATGGGGATCACTTCCTAAAGGGCAGAAAATATTTTTCCAATAGTCTCGTTAATCTGGGTTGAAGGAACAGGGTGGTGCCACAGCCAGCCAGGGTTCCTTGAGGACCCTGAACACCCTCAGGGAGGGCCACACAGGGGAGGATACCAAGGGTCACAGCCACTGCGTAGGGACAGCCACCAGGTCTGACAGCTGACCACAGTGTCAACAATGAACTCAATGCCGTTTTATACTGAATCCTGCATTTTTGTAATTGTAACAAAGCAAGGTAATCTGTGATTTCAGGCCACCCAAAGTCAACTGTGCTTGAAATATCCAAAGCAAAGAGGGAAAAATGAGCTTTGAGGCATTACATTAACTGGAAACTGAACTCAGTTTTGCATTTCAGTGTGGAGGGGAATGTGTGTCAGGGAGGGGGGTATGTGCATGCATGTGTGTGTGTGTGTGTGCATGTGCTTGTGCATAAAAGAAAGAGAATGGGTATGCATTTTTTAATGTGCACTGAATTAAGATGATAGCAATTAAAAGGAAATACAGCTGACAGCACCCCATCCCAAATGCTTGCCTACACCAGAGCACATCCAGGTCTATGGCCACTAATTAAGTAAATACTGACTCTCTTACCAACGAAAGGAAAAAAACATATAACTTGTCAAATTTAAGTTTGTTTAATAATGATTTGCCAGTTTTTAAAAAACTATAACAATCACTTTCTCTACGACTTATTTATTACGAGACACTTGGTAACAAGAAGTAAAGAATATACATTAAAGAGAAGAGAGAAAGAGAACCCCCACCCCCCTCCGAGCCATGACAGTGGTTTAGAGCACACCCAATGCACTGCAGGTATAAAATCAACACCTGAGAGACCAAGCCTTAGGCGGGGAGGTGCAAGGTCATCTCGCCCAGCTGCTCAGTGGATCAAACAAAGAAAAGCAGACAGTGCTGCCTTGGGGTCAAGAGCAAAGAAGGGTTCACGGACCAGACAGGGAAGGGGCGGACATCCACAAGAAGAGGGGGACTGCATCCCAGGGCAATCTGGTGATGAGGGAAAGAGGCTTCCCTGACTTCCAGCAGCCTTCTGGGGTAGCGAGGGGCAACCGTAAGGGGAAGAACATACTCTGGCCCCCGAAGCCCCATCCCGCCCACAGGTACCCTTATGGCCAGCAGGACAGGCCCCCTGCCCTGCAGCTTCCATGGCGACCTTTCCCAAAACGCTTCTTCAACTCTCACTGCGTAAAACCTGTCCAAAACTAAGTGACAATAGCAATTTAAAATGCAGGTATTCATTTGAGATGGAAAGAATTAATAATTACAAATTAACAATTCTCAGAGCCTTCCCTTTGAACAGAGAGATAAAGGGTAGATGGGCAGGGACTCCCCCAGTGGCCACGGGGTAATTACATTAGATGGAGGGCACAGGATGAGGACGCTGGTCCCCCTATAAAGTCATACCTCTGGGGAGACCAAAAGTTAGAAGAGCCCGGGACAGTTTCATTCTGAATCTGAAACTACAGCTGTTCATTTTAGAGCCTGGGGCTATTTAGAGCTATTCCTTTCTAATCAGGCTATCTTCCCATAAAGAAACTAGCCTAAGTGGATCACACCACAGGATCCCTTCCAGGTGACTTTCTCAAAGAAAGAGAGTTTAATTTTAAAAAGAGAGAGAGAGAGAGATTTGTCTTAGAAGAAAACATAGGAGTAAATCTTCATGACCTTGGATTTGGCAAAGGATTCTTAGATATGACGCCAAAAGTAGGAGCAACAAAAGAAAAAAAAAAGCAGATAAACTGGGCTTCATCAAAATGTAAAAGTTTTGTGCTTTAAAGGACACCATGAGGAAAGTGAAGAAATATTCGTAACAAACTCTTAACAACTCAATAATAAAAAGACAAAAGCCCAATTATAAAAAGATCTGAACATTTTTCTAAAGAATACATACAAATGGCCAGTAAGCACATGAAAGGCTGCTCAACATCACTAGTCACCAGGGAGATGCAAATCAACACCAGCATCACTTCACACCCACGAGGACAGCTAGAATCACAGTCCCATGGCAGGTGCTGATGAGGATGTGGACAGATCAGAACTCTCACGCAGTGCTGGTGGGAACGTGAAATGGTGTGGCGGCTCAGGACAACAGCCTGCCAGTTCCTCAAACACTGAGCACAGAGTTACCATATGACACAGCAGTTCTGCTCCTAGGTGCATACCCAAGGGAAATTAAAACACATGTCCACACGAAAACTCATACATGAATAAACGTTCACAGCGACATTATGCATAATAGCCAAAAGGTAGACACAACCAGATGTCCATGAACCCATGAAAGGATAAACATGGGCGGCGTACAGAGAGAGTGGACTATTACTCAGCCCTACAAGGGAATGAGGTACCGACCCAGGCTACGGTATGGATGAGCCCTGAATATGCTGTGTGAAGTGAAAGAAGCCAGGCATTAAGAGACAACAGACGTAGGATAGTATTTGCATGAAAGTTCAGTGTAGGGACATCTAGAGAAAGAGAAAGTAGAAGAGTAGTTGCTTAGGGCTCAGGAAGGTGACGGGGTGGGGGATGGGGGATAGGTAAGTGATAGTTAAAGGGCACAAGGTTTCTTTCTGGAGTGATGAAAATGTCCTAAAATTGACTATGGAGACATATCTTAGGACAATACTGAAAACCACCGAATTGTATACTTGAAACAGATAAATCGTATGGTACACAAACTATATCTTAATAGAGCTGTTAAAAATTTTTTAAACAGGGGCACCGGGTGGTTCACTGGTTGATCATCTGCCTTTGGCTCAGACTGTGATCTCGGGGTCCTGGGAATCCAGTCCTGCATCAGGCTTCCCGCAAGGAACCTGCTTCTCCCTCTGCCTGTGTCTCTGCCTCTCTGTGTGTCTCATGAATCAATAAATGAAATCTTAAAAAATATATTTTTTGACAATAAAAAATTAAAGTGATTTGGCCACTCACTAAATAAAAATTAGAACATTCAACCCTGAGATTCAGCACACCAGTATATCCTGTATGCTTTGGACAACAGCTCGGATGTGATTTGGTTACTGTCCCCTTGGAAACAGTGAGCACGCGGAAGCAGGCCAGGACTGCTGAGTCTTGTGTGGACACAGCACACACCCACCCGGGCTGGCTCAACAATCCCTGGTACAGGTCAACAGCCACTCTTCTCTGCTGCGATGGTCTACACGCCCCGCACCAGCATTACTTCTCCACACAAACTTCCGCTGGGTCCTCTAGATAAGCATTGCTCAAAATTCAAAACTAGGAAGTAACCCTGACCGCCCAGCCTTCCTTACCTGATCATTATCAGTCTCTTGAACAAAAAATGCTTCTCCATTATCTCCCAATTTCATGTGCAGATCCACTGATTCTCCGTTGATTTCTATGTCAACCTGAAGGAAAAACACACTTGGCTAAAGCAGGAAACCTCATGGGAGATGCCGTGTCTCTACATAAGCATCCTTTAATCACATACGTGCCAAAATGATCTCATAATTCCAATCAATACATGGGAATCAGTCAACCCATCGGAAATGGAGTCTATTTGCCCTCACCGCCACCCCCCCCAACCTTGAGCCTGGGAAGGCTTGTGATTGCCCCAGCAAGCAGAGCACTACCAGAGTGGCTCTATGGAACTTCCGAGGCCAGGTCAGAAGAACACAGGGTCCCCCTGGCTCCTTTCCTCTTTAGATGATCGCCTGTATCCAGCTGCCATGTTGTGTGGCCACCCAGGCCACATGGAGAGGCCACGTGGGGGCATCCTGGCCAACAGCCCCAGCTGAGAGCCCAGCCAGGAGCCCCCAGCCATGTGAGTGAGCACATCTGTAGAGACGCTCTTCCAGCTGAGGCAAGGAATTACTATCCCTGCTGCACTTGGTCTGAATCTCTGACTCACACAACCCCATGAGCTTAATAAGTAGTTGACTTTTACCCACCATTTATTTTGGAATAAGTTAACACAATTCGAGTTAGAACCTGTCAATTCAGTGAGCAGCCCTTTCCAGGGCAAAGCCACAACTCCAGAGACCTAAAGCTCTATCTAAAGACAGAAACACGGGGGACACCTGGGTGGCTCAGCCAGCTAAGCATCTACCTTTGGCTCAAGTCCTGATCCCAAGGCCGTGGGATCAGGCCCCACATCAGGCTCAGCAGGGAGCCTGCTTCTCCCTCTCCCTCTCCCTCTCCCTCCGCCCCTCCCCCTGCTCGTGCTCACTTGCTTGCTTGTTCTCTTTCTCTTTATCTCAAATAAATAAATAAAATCTTTAAAGACAGAAACAGGATGATTTTCTCTTAAAAAAGAACCTGCCCCCAGGTCACCAGGTCCTTTGCTCTTACCACTTTCTCTCGGGAACGCAGGACCCCCATCTTCCCAAAGCGCACGTGGAAAGGAGAGCATTGGAGGCTCCCGTTGGGCTGGCGAACAACGATGATATCGATACATCCAGACAGGGTGGCGGGGTTCAACCCCTTGTAGAGTTCCTTCACGGTGACAAAGACCTGGCCGGCCAACTGCCCGACGTAATTCATGGTTTGAGTCTAGGAAACAGAGACAGACCCAGGAACGATTAATTCAGAGAAGGCCATCTATCAGGGGCCGGTCCAAATGCACTCATCATCGTTACACTAGCTCGACTTGCACACCCTATTGAAATCGTTTTGTTCCACTGGAATGGGCTCCAAGGCACCCACCCCTGTCCGTCCACCCCCACCCCAGCCAGCAAGCCCACAAACTCCAGGAAGCCCCATCTCAGTGAGCACCCGGCTCTGCCCACCGGGTCCACGGCACTCAGCAGCTTTTGCCATCCAGGCCCTGTTCTGCCGTTACAGGCAGTTTTACAGCAAAATCTTAAGGCTCTTGAGAAAAGAGACTGTATTTTATATCTCTTACTATCTAACCACCCCCCCATGCCAAATAGAGTAGGTAGGTAGTTCAATAATATTAATTGAAAAAAAAAACGACCATTTTTTTAACTTGAAAAGGAAAATAAATGACTTATTTTGAACAATTTCCATCCTGGTCTCTGCCCACATGGTTCTGCCCCAGGGTGGCGGCAGGCGACACACAGGCCCCGCTCGGGGTTGTCAGCTAATCGGCTGAAGGCCAGTCAGCAGACATCCGGGCGTCTACTCTACAAGGGCCTGGTGTGGGGACACAGAGATAAAAAAGACAAAGTCCTGATGCCCCGAAGGGACCCACAGGCTCACGAAGGAGACAGAAGTAAAACACAAAGAATGAACATCTCTATGTCAGCGTTGCTACGTCTGCTTTAAGTAGACAGGAAGGGTCACAGCTGAGGGAGGCGGAGGGGGAGCTGGGAAGGGGCTGCAGCAGGACCAGGAGGAGGGACGACACCAGCAGGGACCAGGGGGACGAGAGGCCCACAGGAGGGGCTGTGCCCGCCACGGGGAACGGAACAGGCAGGGAAGGACGGAGCCTGGAAGCCACACTGGGAGGTCCGGACTTTCTAAGTGGCCACAAGAAGCCGCTGCAGACTCGGGCGCGACAAAATGATGATCGGACCCAGGACTTCAAAAAAGCATCACGAGGAAAGCACACAGGTGGGCTGGAGAGGGACGGAGGCGGGAGATGCGGATGGTGCAGATGACAAAGGACGCGGCCCGGAAGGAGGCAGTGAGCAGGGCACGGAGGCCACACACAGCTGGCCGGACGCTGGGGTCCAGAGGACCGGCGGGGAGCTGGCACCACGCTCTGGCCCTCCTTCCGCAGCTCGGGCCTCCACCACCGTCTTGGTGCCGGTCCCCACCTGCCTGATCACCCGCCTGCGCAGAGCCCGCCCTCCGGTTCCACCGGCCCAGTGCATGGCCCCATGTGACTCGGAGCCCGCAGCCCGGCCCCCAGCCCACCAGGGCCAGCCTGCAGCCCTCCTCCGCCACTCGCTCCCCCTCGCCGGGCCTCGCCGGGCCTCCTGCTTGGAGCTTGGAGCACCTGCTCGCTTCTTCCCCAGCTAAGCTGCCCTCACGCGGGGGCCCCACTCAAAGTTGCTCCCCTCCCCTCTCTCTGCCCCTAACTGCGGTGGCCTCCTGAGGCCACACAGCTCCACCATCTGAGCATGAAAGGTCTGCACACTGGGATTTCCAATCGCTGGATCCCAAGACCTCACCCTCTCCCCCAACCATCACACCCCAATTCTTCAAACTGACCACCTACCCGACATGGGGCTTCGAGGAACCATGCCAACCCTACACCCACCTCGGGTCCCTTACAAGATCCCAACGACCACCGCCTTGCATACGCACACTTGTCCCTGACCTGTTTGCACAGTTTGTTCTGTGAACTATCTCACTCGGACGTGTCTATTTTGCAGTGTGGCTTTCCGGTCACCTGGCCAAGCCAGACTCTCCTTGAGGCCAAGGCTCAAGCCTTGTCTTTGCAAGTTAAAAAGCCAAAGACTACCTTTCATAAGCCTCACCGCAACCCCTGTGACAAGCAGAAGTGATATTAGCACCCCCTGCTTTACAAATAAGGAAACTGAGGCTTGCAGGTGGTTGGTCAAAAGCCCCGCACACAGTAGGCAAACACGAACTGCTGATTTAAGGCTGAGAATAGGCTAGAGCCCTAAAAGCAATGACCAAATACGACAAAGAAAAGGACACATGAAAGTCCTAAGTGGGGGATCCCTGGGTGGCTCAGTGGTTTGGCGCCTGCCTTCAGTCCAGGCATGAGGTCCTGGAGTCCCGGGATCGAGTCCCACATCAGGCTCCCTGCATGGAGCCTGCTTCTGTCTCTGCCTGTGTCTGTGTGTGTGTGTGTGTGTGTGTGTGTGTGTGTCTATCATGAATAAAAAAATAAAATCTTAAAAAAGAAACAAAAAGAAAGCCCTAAGTGGCTCGTTCTACAATTTTATATGATGCCTTGTGGATCGATACTGCCCGTCTTCCTCAGACGAGTGACAGGGGACCCTCTGTGAACATGTGCAGAGATGCACACAGCCCAGCTGCCCTTGGATGTGGTGGACGCCAGGTCCAGCTCCCACCACTACTATACGTAAAAATAGAAAACCGTGCAATTTCTATGTAGCCGGGCAAGCTAACATGCAACAGGAGAGAGGAAACAGAACAATGCAAAAAAGGATTCCTTCGAAGCCTAATACTTCCTTCCTTTTTTGTTTTTGTTTTTAGGGTTCTTTTTAGTAAGTTTTATGCTCAATGTGGGGCTGGAACTCATGAGCCCAAGATCAAGTGTGGCATGCTCTACCTCTGAGCCAGCCAGGCACCAGGAATCCTGATACTTCTCATATGGAATCATTTTATCAAAAAAAAAAAAATCACATCAATGTTCTATGGAGATTTTAACATATGGTGCTTACTGAGACACATAACCCTCTAACCCTGCAGCTCAATGCAAGCAGTAGGAACGTTTTTCTAAGATCTTTTCCACATGACCTCATGCTCGAGTGACTCTGACCACAACGCTGCAGAGACGAGGCCTTTCAGACGAGTGAACTAAAGACAAGCAAAGGTGCAATGAAGCAAACGCCCAAGGTCACAGGCCTGGGTTCAGAAGCCACCACCTTTTCGGTTCCACAGTCCCCCGCCCCCCTAACCCCCCGGGGCCCCTCTCGACTTCATCGCCCTCACCTGTGGGCCACACTGGTCCTGAGTGACAGGTGACCACCTCCTGCAGTGAGGCTTGAACCCAGGCCTGCGCCCCTGCCGCTGGTCATGTGGCCCCAGAGGACCCGCCAGCCAACATGTTGTAGCCACAATAAAGAGAAAGCTCAGAGCTGGATGGTGTTACCACATGTCTGCATCCCAGCTCCTCATCTGTAAGACGAAGACGTCGGCCTGGATGACCTGCAAGATCCAATTCCAGCTCCGACCACCCCAAGAGAAAGCCTGAGAGGGCATCTTTAATAATTCAAGCTAAATGTTGCTCTGCTCCCTTGCCCTCCCCTCCCATCAGTGAGCAAATTCAAAGTTACTGTGCAGAATCAGAAGATTTTGAAGGTGACAGGGCCCTGGGTTGTTCTTCCAACAACTTCGTCTAAAAGAAATGAGTCCACAAAGGGGAAGTGGTAGGCAGCGCCCCCACCTTCGCAGAGTCGGAGGCGGACCCTGACTTCCCGATTCCTGGTCCTAGGATCTTCCCTGTGTGCATGCCACGGGATTGGCCCAGTATAATTCTCCCACCGCAAATACTCGGAAGCTGCTTTCGTATCTTTAGCTACCCCCTCTATTGAACAGCTTATTTGCAAATCTGTAAACACCTCCCCCTTGGAAGCAGGACATCTGTTTCATAATTCTGAACAAATGACAGGGTCATGGCCCCACCTGGCAATCCGCTCCCAGGGAACTTCAACATCGACAGGGGCTGCTTTGGCTGACCACCGAGCAAGCATCTTTTACCGAGGAGACTACCTGGATGGCTACTCTCTCCAGCGGAGCAAGAAACAGGGTTGGCAAGGCTGGGAAGAAATTGGAACCTATGTGCACTGTTGGTAGGAATGCAAAATGGCACGGCGCTATGTATGGAACAGCACAGAACACGGTTCCTCAGAAAATTAAAAATAGAATTACCATATGACCCAGCCATTCCACTTCCAAATATATATCCAAGAAAACCCAAAGCGGGGTCTCAAGGAGATATTCACACACCCACGTTCACAGAAGCGTTCTTGCCATGGCCAAAAGGTGGAAACCACCCAAGTGTCCATCCATGGGAGGAAGAGATAAACAAAATGTGGTACAGACTTAACAATGGGCTATGAGCCAGTGGGAAAAAGGAAGAAGATTCTGATGTACGTTCTATAAACAACATGGATAACCCCGGAGGACGGCATGCTAAGTGAAATAAGCCCATCACAAAGGGACAAACACCACATGTGGCGATTCTACTCCTATGAAGCACCCCGATGACCTAAATCTGTAGAAATAGGAAGCAGAACAGAGATTACCAGGGGCTGTGGGGAGGACAGAAGGGGGGTTGGTGTCACGGGCACAGAGCTTCCTGTGGCAAGATGAAACAAAAGCTGGAGCTGGATGGTGGTGACGGTGGCACAACAGTGTGAACATTCTTACACAAAGTGTGCGGAACTGTACACTTAAAAATGATCAAGATCATAATCATTTATGTTACATGTCTTTTACCACGATTTTAAAGGGGGTGAAGGAGAATGTGGTAGGCACCAGAGCTCATTCCAGGAAGACGAGTACTGTTAGCTTGGGCCCGGAGGTACAGGATGGGCTTCCAGGGTGCGGGGGGCACCCAGTCCACCCCAGGCCTGGCTGAGGGGTGCAGGTAAGTTGGGGGCAGGCCCGGCTCTTCTTCATCTCTGCCCTCCCTGGATTTCTTCTAACAAGTGTTGGCCAAATACTGAAAGAATGCCAGGCCACAGCAGCTGAGCCCCAGTTCCCAGTTTCACTTCCTCAGTTCCCTGTGAGGTAAAGGACTCAAGGAAGAAGCTAATGGGATTTTCCTACAGATTCGAAGCCACGCAAACCAGCCCGAGGTGCACACCCCTGAATCTCATTCGTGCCCTGCTGTCTCCTGCTGTTCACTGAGACCCGGGACCCAC